CGTTGCCATGGTAGCAAAATTTTGGATGACAACAAATCAAAACGTCACTTAAAAAGTGGACTCGCGCTGTTTCATCTTCATCGATCTTATTTAATATCACTTAATTTGTCAAATGATGGCGAAATTTTCTGGGTTGAATCCGAAAGAAAAAGAAAATTTTTGTGTTATTCTCACCGACTCCATAAAGCGGGCGCAGTCGTGCAACAACGGCTAAGAAATGTACAAAAAAGCGTGATGCACGTGCAAAGTTGCTCTTTTGCCAATCTAAAACCTATTGCCTTTTTGCTGTTTTCCGTTGCCGTTGCAAAACTCGACTCCCTACTGTTGTGATACAGAAATTTTGCTACCATGGTAACGCGACGTCACACTTCTCCTCTATATTGTAGTAAATATAACTAACATTACAAACATGTCCCTTAATTCTGTTCCATACCTCTACTCGGATGACAGCTTCATGAGTGGCCTTCTGAACTCGATTTACAATCTCGGTCAAGTCGGACTCTGTGTCTGCAATCCAAACATAGATGCAAGTTGACCCCCTCATTAAACCCAAAAGCTTTGATGGGACAAGCAACATTATTTTACAAGGACTTAATATGAAGAAAAAAGTTGAACTATAAATGCAATGCCCTCAATCTGTCAGTTCATTACTTATTGGGGTTCTGGATGTTGCCCCATGACAAAAGAAATTGTCTTCCGCCTTAACGTAATCATTATATCCTTAAATCAAAGCGAATGCTTAGAAATTAACTGGAAAAGAAGGGAACTTTGGAGTTTTCTTGAATCATGACTTTTGACTTACCCACTCCAAGGTAATGGCTATCTCCGGAACTGGACTGAATGCAAAAGCAAAATTCTCGTTTATCAAGTATCTCATCATCCTGTCAAGAGATTCACAAAGTATTTTAACGACTAATTAACACAAACAATTACGCCTGTTGGGTCTAATTTTCTGGTGATTTACTTGGCAAAAAAACACAGAAAACTATTTTACCTACCCTGCATGTATGACATACTAATTCCATCACACTGTATGAAATTTCACTCTGGAGCCAATCTCTTGCAATAACCTAAAAAGGGGTTGGAAACATTATGTGAACCTGTCCACTCTAACAAGTAAAAAAGGTGAAATGTTTGAAAGGTCACATTTCTTTCCCATTCGTAACTCAGGAAAAGTTTTGGATGCTACAACCATTGCAAAAAAGTGACACAATTGACCTTATTTGGACTTAAATGGCCTGTTCATGATGAATGAACTTGTGCACCACCCCCCCGGTCAAATTTGCTTGCAATACAAAACCATGCTCAAACTTGGAGGAACAACTCTGACTAGCGGGGAGGGGAGGGGAGGTGAGCGTTATTTCTCACAGAAGTGACTAGCAGCGATTTCAAGTAAAAAAGGGGTTTTTATATTGGCAAGCAACGTGAATAAGATACCCTTACATACGTTTGGATATTTCTGTAAAGGGAAGACAAGGATCAAACAGGAGTACAATAATTGCAGCTGACCAAAGGGTGGCCGTGTTGGTTCACAAGAACAGAAGCATTTCCCTCCACTACTCCACGGGGAGTACCCCCAACCCCCCGGGTGTTTGTCACTCTTGGGACTTGAGCCTTTAAACCCTAAGATCAAAATCTGAATTCTCATTTGTTGCCCCAATTCATTTCCTACAGAAGTAGTGGGGAGAAGTTGATAAAATATCAAACAAATTCATCTTGTGTGATCATGTCCGTAATTCTCATGACCACTCTGTTTAACAAAGCATTGATATTACAAGGAGAAATTTGATGCTGATCACTCTTAGGTCTTAAAGGGTCAAAGGGTTAATGGAGGTTCAACTGTGAACATTTAGACATCAAATCAATACATCACTTTACATGTACTTACTGGTGGCATATTGAATATCTGAAGCTCTGAGCCTTTGAGTGTTAGAAACTTTCTTTTCCAGACGTTCCAGTGGTTTGTAGATTTCATTCTTTCCCATACCCAGCCCATATATACAACCTGAAATAAAGAAAACAAAAAAAATTAATATCTTTTAATTAAAACTGTAGTTGGAAATCCACTTCCTTTAACAGTCATGTATAAAGGGTTGCACAAATGCCTCAAATTGTTACAAGCAATGTTGCCTATGGGCATGTGTCAACCGCTCATTTTATTTCTAGGACAAGAAATTTTGTTGATTTAACCAGGCCCCAGTTGTTCAAACGTTGGATAGAGCTATCCACTGGGAAAATTACAATCCAGCGGATTAGTATTAGGGAAACTAATTGTACTATCCACTGGATAGAGATTAATTATCTGGTCGATCTTTGAACAACTGAGGCCAGGGCTTTAAGCTTCAATATCCACATGCAAATTCTCCACACTGACGTCCATAATTTCCTTGAACAATTATTTGAAAGAATTTGTTACAGGATCAAAGAATTTCCCCTTCGGTGACCGTGATCATCATGTATGGCTATTGTCAAGAGAAAACTGATACTGGTCACTCAGCATTTCGAGGGATAAGAATCATTTACATTGCACAAGAGCCACTTGAGTGAAAGTGCTGTAGGATGGGGCCTATGGTTTTTCGTCTTTATCCAAGAAGACTAAAAGATCTAACTACGTGCAGAGATGAAACGATTAAGCAATATCTACTCCTCAGTTATTTGAACACTCTTCGTGTTGGTCTGGCCGAAATAGACCTACTACTCTGAATTCTGGTACTCAATTTTTTAACACAAACCAGGGGCAGCAGTCGTACAAAAGGTGGGTCCAGGTGAGTGAGATGACAGGTGGACATGTATGGTTCTTCTGGCAGTTAGTGTTTCTTCCAGTTCTAGCTTAGTTATAATTTTTTGCAACACAATAACAGTGCAAATGACTGACCTGCTCAGAAACTGGCAATGACGAATTTGAGAGATTCATCTAAAACAAAGAAACAATACAACACAATTATTATATGCATGGCTACAATGGCACGCTCACTCTGATTGGCTGCTAAATGGGCAAGATTTTCTTGTAATGAACAGGCATTGCAAGCTAGGTGTCCAAGGCATATACAATCTGTGTTTAACTTGATAGTGGTCATCCTTATGGACATCCGTGTTATGGTCGATTGACAGCTATCAAAAAGGTATCCGCTGACCAGTGTCACATAACTGTATCGTGGGCTCAAGTGTTCGGAGTGGAGTGTTTTTTTGAACTTATTCATGGGGAGATGTCAGATGTGACAGAGTATCTCATTCCACAGCTTGGCCACAAAGCGAGAGAAAGACAGATTACAGTCAAAGAACAGGACAAAAGAGGACGAAAGAACCTCCAATTCTAAGTTTCCATTTTCAACAGGTGTCTGCCGCACAGAGATTCAAAGAAAATGACTGGAGAAAGGGACTAACTCCAGATGTCAGTTTTTGAGGGTAACCATCTTATAGCTGTCTTGAGAGAGTTGATTGTATGCAAAAGAATAATTGTTTCTGGTAAACTGCCCACCTACCCCTCTCCTAAGCCAACATTTTGCCCTAAGTGAGAAGTAAGTGTTGACGTTGGCTTAAGGGAGGGGTAGGGGGGCAGTTTCCCAGAAACGTATAATGATCCAGAATAACCTTCTTCAGTTTGATTAAATGAAACAAATTTTCAACACATTTAATCTGAAACTCTTTGAGTAACTGTCACAGACTATGTTATTTAAAATAATGTGTCTTGTTAAACAACTTCAGGGGAGCGCTGCATGACTTTAGTGCTAGTGTTTTACAGTTGTCAGGTCTGGTCTAGCTTAGCAGAGAAGTACAGCGGAACCCCGTTAATGTGACCATAGTTGGGCCATAAAATCCGGATCGTAATAATAAGGTGGTGGCATAACAGGGTCTTCAAGATCAACAAATGACTCAGTGGTTTTTATGTTTGGGTCGAAAGAATACGGTCTTATAAACGAGGTGGTCGTAAGGCCAGGTCTCACACTGTAATTCACCAGAACAACTTACTTCAACCAGTAATTCCGTGCCAGGAGGGGTACTTTTTTTTTAGTTTTACAAGCTTTTCTGGACACAGGCCTGCCCAGAGGGAATAGGCACGAACGGGACTCATAGGTCCCATGCAAGGTGCCATCCCTACTCTTTCCGAACAGTAGTGTGGGTTCTTTTACGTCCCACAAGAACAGATAAGTGAAAGTGCTGTGAGACGGGACCTACGGTTTTTCGTCCTTATCCGAGAAGACTAGAAAGTCTAACCATTTGCAGATGTCATTACAAAGGCAGCACTTTCTTCTTAGTTATTTAAAGACCCTAAGTGTTGGTCAGGCCGGGGTTTGAACCCACGACCTCCCGCTCAGCAGACCGGCGCTCTCCCAACTGAGCTAACCAGGCGGCGGCGGGTACTGCCATATATGGGCTATATTAATATAGGTATGTGCCACTGTGAAGGGTATGGTTTTCAAGCAGTTTACTCTGGGATAGGGTTTATCAATCAGAGAGTTTGGGTCTATAATAGCGTATCATTTTGCAGGAAACTGATCAGTTGGTTGAAGATTTTAGTCTAGACTAGGGAAACTGGGAATTGCCACTCAACAATATAACAAATCAAAAAGGCAAGTTTAAATTTAGGCAACTCAGCCTGAAAGCTACTCTAAGATAGGGCTGAACTTGGGGAGTTTAGTCTAGTACAGGTTAGCAAAATTCAGCTGAACTAGGGGCGCTTTCCATTTGTCAGAACTGGCCCGCCAGACAAATATTGGACCAGTCAGTTAGCAAACGAAATCAGCTTTTTCCAAGGGTTTTTGCTGAAAAACCACCTTCTTCCTATACACTGTTTAGGATTTGACTAATCTGGCTGGATAGTTTTAATTAAAAGCGAAATTCTTATTAAGACGGGAATGGTCTGGCCAATCAGTTCTGACAAATGGAAAGCACCCTAGGTCTGGTATAGGCTAAGGGTTCCAGAGTCCCAGCGGCACACCCAACCCAAAAATTACTAAAGTACCCCCCAGGCCCGTTATCAATTTATGAGTCACTTACTGACTGTTCAAGAAGCATGACTACTCTGTCCTTGATGGCAGAATACCATGACAACAGTTCTCCTTTATTTTCACTGTAAAGAACTACCGAGGCTCCACCATCCATGGAACTGACCTCAAACGCATTGTTCCTGTAACAAAATAGCAAATATGATCCAGTTTAGACAACAGTATATATCACATGAAACAGTACTTCTTGCTTTTAAGACATCTAAATTTTGGAACAATTTTGCATTGTTTCCGAAAATATCTCATACTCTCCCCAAAGAAGGTTGTCTGCTGAACACCCCCACTCTTTTGGAAATTCTAGTTAAACTTCATACTTTCCCCTACAAAAACATTGGCCTTTAAGACCCCCTTCACATCTGATTTCTAAATACAGTCCTCCATGGGGTGGGTAAGTATGTTTTCTGGAACAACAAATTCTTAATAAAAGTCAACACAAATATTACATAATTACTGCCATGTCATTATCACCACCATTATACTACTACATCAGAAACTTCTGCAATTTAATTGGCTCAGAGCAGTGGTATTTGAGCTTAATTTGAAATACCTATATGTGAAAATTACAAACCTTTTGCGGGTAGTAGTATAAACAAATAAAACCATGATTTGTTCGTGATATTTGGCATAAATACGACTTGTGATATTTCAGAATTGTCTCAAATTTCACTCACCTAACGGCTCGTGAAATTACGTATAATAATTTTGAAATATCACTCGTGGTATTTATGCCAAATATCACTACAAATCATGCTATTACCTATACTAATTAGGCCATCAAAATTACGTATATGCCAACTTTCCCAGACACAGCACCTGAACCTCCTGGTCTCCCATACGGGTCACCATATCTCTCAGATAAAATTGACCTTTATGATAGAATCTGTTTTTCTAGTTGGGAATTACGTCCATCCCCCCCCCCCCCTTCCCCCAAATTTAAATCCCCCATGGCTTATGGAGCATTTTTGCACATTTTTCATCACTGACAAAGACAATTTTTTGTCATTTCAATCATAGAAGTGAACTTTGATGATCTGTAATTTATGTAAAACTTTGTAAATTATAATTCCCTTGGCTATAAACACATGTTGTAATTAATGCCGCTGGGTTGATTTTTTCTTATTGGGAGGGAGGAAGGGTGGTTTGGTCATTGATATTTCAGGGGGGGGAGAGTAATGCAAAAGAGAGAGTCTGCAGATTTCAGATCTTTAAATGTTTGCACACATCTCTGATGTTTCATCATCATTAGGCTGATTTAGCAACACAATGGGAACGTCAGTTGACGACACACCAAAGGGAAAGCGTGCAGAAAGGACTAAGCGCACCTTCCGGTGCCAATTTACTGCTCTGCTATTGGTCAAGCCAGTTGTTTCAGTTACGTGCGCTGTCGTCAACTGCAGACATTCCGACCCTCTCTATTGCTAAATCAGCCTAGCTATTATCTCCATTAGCTAACCTAAGAGAATCCTCCCCTGTCTTGTATCTGGATACTGACGCAAATGTCAGTGGAAGCACAATGTTGTCTGACCAGCTATGAAGAGAGGAGTTGGAGTCTGTTTCTCCAACTTCAGAAGACTGTGACAATAGAAATATTCATCATGGTACCACATACTAGTCTGTATAAATTAGATTACATGTAGTTCAAAGAGCATGCACTCACATTATGCAACTAGTCATCAAGGTCTGCTCTTTTTAAACAGCAGTGAAAAAACATCTGATGTCACACCAATCCAAATTAAAAAATGACTTAGTTTTGGATAACACACTGCAATGTCAGAAATTCTTAACAGGGCTGTCACTAAGGGCTGGGGGCCGGGGGCCGGGGGCCGGGGATTTCCCCCAGGGTACAATGAGCATGACCCCAGTCAATTTTCGTGGGAAACAAAAGGAAAATGAGACCAAAAGAACTCCTTAGCTATTCATTTCCCCACCTACTAATTGCAAATACCTGATACCTTGAAACTTGATGTTGGGTTTTTTATCAATCAAACCTTTACCATGGCATTCAATCCTTGCTTGTCAAAAAGACTTTCAGGTTTGGTTTCTACCCTTACCCTTCAGAATTTCTCCACCATGAAGAAGACTTTTGCGAACTATAATTATGATGATTGGGCTGTATTTTTGATTGACATCACAGAAAAAACCAAAATCCTACCGTAGGTCATGTGTTATCTGAAACAGTTGTACGTAAACACTAGTTTGTGACGAGATTACTTATGATGCAAATAACATGCATTCAGATTACTGCAACTTGTCTCCAAGGTATGCTCTTCAGTTTAAACAACAGCGAAAAACATCTGATGTCAAGCATCCATAAAAATAAAATTTAAAAAACACTTAATTGCAGTTTCAAGCTTAGATGATTTCTGCTACACACTAGCACGTTTTAAGAGTTATAACATCCACAGTGAACAAATAATTACCTTTTGACTACTATTCTCTTTAAATTCAGCATCACTTGAAGACTCATCAATACCTCTAACAATTCCATTTGCTGTAATCATGTAAAAATCAATTGCATGACATCATACACCCACATGAGGATTACCAACAGTGCTGCACGACAACAAGATGTCTTTTGATTGCCATTTAATGCTTGGTATTTGATTGATTTGTCTAAATTGTTCATCCCAAAAAGATCTTTGACAGATATCCACATTTCAGGCATAAAATAGCGTTGACTTCCACAAAGTCCTGTCGATTCACCACCCCTTCATTCACTGCTTGGAAAACTCTTTCTTGGTGAATTTTTTAAATCAAGTTGATGACACAAATCTGATAACAACCAATACACTGAGCACTGCAATTCAAGCCATAGCTTAGGGGTATACTTAAAACTTACAAATGAGGCACTGGCATACAAGATTCTTTTTGGCACCAATCTCAGCCTTTCAGAGACATATCCTTTAAGCAATTTAAAGCTTACCTTGTTTAGATGCAGCTGCTGATGGGGTTGCTTCTGTTGCAGAACCAGACGTAACGGTTGTATCAGCATCTTAAATAAAAAAAGGCATTTTTGACTCAGATGTAAGTAGATTGGCAAAAAGGAAGCCATTTAAATGCAATGGACATTTACCAGGGTCACATAGGAACCAAAAAATGGCTGCATACATCATGCTCAAGTTCATTGCAGTGGAAGCTTAAGGAAAAGATCAACCTTTTCTTACACATAAGTTTGCCCATTCATCGTGCATAGTAAAAGCATGCAACAGTTCATACACCAAACATTTCACTTTTCATCCCAAAATTCCAGAAGTCCCAATTTTTTTTAAAGCAATTCAATTCTCTTGCAGAATAATTATTTGAATAGCTGGGATTCCATTCAGCATTTTTAATTTTGTAAAATGCAAAAATTAATAATAAGGACTTATCCTGAGTGCTATTATTAATTTTATTATTAGCCTCGGTCTGATTATACCAGGTGATAGTATAATACACGTTTATGTGCAAGTGGGTGTGTACAGGCCTCACGTTTCAGTGGAAAATCCAAGGAGAGGAACCTGCAGAGGGTTAGGATCAAAGCCCCCTAAGTCACAACAGCAACATATAAATCCTCCCGATTGATCTCCATGCATTTCCTACAAGTCTCAGGGTGTTCATTATCATTATTATTTTTAAAAATTTGTAAAGTACCATACAGTTTCCGTGAAAATATTCAACTGCACCTAATAAGGCATCGAAGATCATAGAAGATCGAAGATCCATCTATCTATATCATACACCTGACATCAGACATCTGGCATCAGACCTCTGATATCAGACAGCTGACATCAGACATCTGAAGTCAGACGTCTGACAACCTGCATCTGATTCAGACATTTAAAATTAGGCGTCTGAAATCAGATGTCTCACATTAGACATCTAAAATCAGACACCTAAAATCAGACATCTCACAACAGACACCTGACATCACACGTCTGATATCAGACACCTAAAATCAGATGTCTGATAACAGAACCTGACATCAGACGTCTGATATCAAACACCTAACATCAGACGTCTGATAACAGAACCTGACATCAGACGTCTGATATCAAACACCTGAAATCAGACGTCTTAAAATTAGGCATCTGAAATCAGAGGTCTGACATCGGATATCTAAAATCAGAAGTCTGAAAGCTGATGTCTAACAACAGACACCTGACATCAGAAGTCTGATAACAGAACCTGACATCAGACGTCTGATATCAAACACCTGAAATCAGACATCTGACGACAGACGTCTGAAATCAGACACCTGACATCAGACGTCTGATAACAGAACCTGACATCAGACGTCTGATATCAAACACCTGAAATCAGACGTCTTAAAATTAGGCATCTGAAATCAGAGGTCTGACATCAGACGTCTGATATCAAACACCTAAAATCAGACGTCTGAAATCAGACACCTGACATCAGACGTCTGATATCAAGCACCTGAAATCAGACGTCTGAGAACAGACACCTGACATCAGACGTCTGATACCAAACACCTGAAATCAGACGTCTGTACAACAGACGTCTGAAATCAGACACCTGACATCAGATGATTGATATCAAACACCTGAAATCAGACGTCTGACAACACATGTCTGATATCAAACACCTGAAATCAGATGTCTTAAAATTAGGCATCTGAAATCAGAGGTCTGACATCAGATATCCAAAATCAAACGTCTCAAATCTGATGTCTGACAACAGACACCTGACATCAGACGTCTGATATCAAACACCTAAAATCAGACGTCTGAAATCAGACACCTGAAATCAGACGTCTGAGACCAGACACCTGACATCAGACGTCTGATATCAAACACCTGAAATCAGACGTCTGTACAACAGACGTCTGAAATCAGACACCTGACATCAGATGTCTGACATCAAACACCTGAAATCAGACACCTCACAACAGACGTTTGAAATCACACACCTGACATCAGGCGTCTGATAACAGAACTTGACATCAGATGACTGATATCAAACACCTGAAATCAGACGTCTGACAACACGTCTGATATCAAACACCTGAAATCAGACGTCTTAAAATTAGGCATCTGAAATCAGAGGTCTGACATCAGATATCTAAAATCAGACATCTCAAATCTGATGTCTGACAACAGACATCTGAAATGAGACTCCTGAGACACCTACATCTGATTAAGACATTTAAAATTAGGCATCTGAAATCAGAGGTCTGACGTCAGATATCTAAAATCAGACGTCTTAAATCTGATGTCTGACAACAGACACCTGACATCAGACGTCTGATAACAGAACCTGAAATCAGATGTCTTAAAATTAGGCATCTGAAATCAGAGGTCTGACATTAGATATCTAAAATCAGACATCTCAAATCTGATGTCTGACAACAGACCACTGACATCAGACGTCTGATATTAAACACATGAAATCAGATGTCTGACAACAGACGTCTGATATTAGGCACCTGAAATCAGATGTCTGAGAACAGACACCTGACATCAGATGTCTGATATCAACACCTGAAATCAGACGTCTGACAACAGACGTCTGACATCAGACACCTGACATCAGACGTTTGAAATCACACACCTGAACTCAGAGGTCTGATAACAGAACCTGACATCAGGTGTTGGATATCAAACACCTGAAATCAGACGTCTGACAACAGACGTCTGAAATCAGACACCTGACATCAGACGTCTGATATCAAACACCTTAAGTCAGACGTCTGACAACAGATGTCTGAAATCAGACACCTGACATCAGACATCTGAAATGTGAAGTCTTAAAACAGACGTCTGAAATCAGACAGCTGACATCAGACGTTTGACATCAGACAGCTGACATCAGCCATCTGAAATATGAAGTCTGAAACGAGATGTCGGAAATCAGACAGCTGACATCAGACGTATGACATCAGACAGCTGACATCAGCCATCTGAAATCAGATGTCTGCCAACAGACGTCTGAAATCAGACATCTGACATCAGACATCTGATATCGGACACCTGACATCAGACGTCAGCAGGGTCATAATTAAAGGATGTATGTAGATGAGTTAAGCATTTGTGGTAGAAAGGAGGACTCTAAAATGTTTATTATCAATATAATGCACAATTTGGACCCCTAACTGCTAGCTTCATACAGAATCCTGCATCCCTGGCAACCCTTGGTTTCCACGATCTTAGAGCTTCAGTACCTAGAGAGCCTGCAGAAGAGTGAATGACTTTCAATTCAACAGTTGATCCTCCCTTTTTTAGTGCTGCAACCTGTTGATAAGAATGCAACAAAAGGCAGTAAGTTAATAAGTAGCTTCAAAAAGAGTTTGAGCCAGAACAATGTAAGTGGACATCCATAATTATTCCTTCTAAGGAATTACTTAAAGGACCCCACCCTCTGAGCAGGTCTGGTGGCAAGCCCTCTCCCACTAGCAAATATGGATCAAATTCAGGCCTCTTACGGGGCTCATACAAAAACTTTCAACCATTTTTTTAAGGACTTTTCAAGGACCATGCACCTACCAGGAATGTAATTTCCCAGATTGTAAAAAAATGCACATTCCCAGTCCATGGATTGAAACAGGACTTAATGGCTTTAACTATTTGCCCCACTAATGTATCTACATTTTTCAGTACACTTATTGTCTTAAATATTGATACTCAATTCTTACGTAAAACAAAAAACACTTAATGTAAATCACCTTTAACTTCTCTGAGCTATGACGTATGTTGGATAACCAAAAAGCAATAAAAAACACTTTCCAGGCCCCTACATTCAAAGTTGAAGAAAATTCAAGGACCTTTCAAGGACTTGCACAAAATTTAAGGACTTTTCATGGAAAAATAGAAGGACTTTTCAAGACTGTGTGAACCCTGTCTTGGGCTGCTGCAGTAAAATCAGCAACTACTTAAATTGAGTGTCAAAATGAGTCAAACATAACAAAGATGGGAAGATTTGTAACATAAATAACCAGCTTAACTTTCCTTGAAAGACCAGCTACTTAAAACTTAAATGACAGCCCTGTCCTAGAGTAACAAAGTAGTGTAAAATATGACACTTACTGCCTCATCATGAGAAGCCTTGCGTATGTCTCGTCCATTGACCTTAAACAGATTCAAAGCAACCAGTGAATAAAAATATGCATGTTACCCTTAAGACCCCACACTTTACCTCAAACCAACCAGGGAGGGATGCTATACATTTAAAAATGAACAAATGCATTGCTTATTGTAGGTTAGGTGCGTGGGAATGAAAGCTGTCTCAAGCATATGGACCTGATGAAAGCAAGGCAGACTGTTCACCACCAAACAGAATGCTGACTAGTAACATGCGATGGAGCTCCTTAACAATAATTGCTCAAGCCCGAATGGGCTCTGAGTCAATAGCCCATCAGGCTGAAGGCCGAAAGGGCTACCGACTCAAAGGCCATGAGGGAGAAAGGAATAATTGATTTAGTAAAACCCAACTAGTTGGTCAAAAATATCGAGATGAAGCAACTTAAAGCAAGACTTTAATCCTTTTTTGACGCCAAAAATCCAAACTGCCCCCTACAGACCTCCACTACTTAGAAGGAATGTCATTAATATCATCAATGCCTTCTCAAACCCTCTTCCTCTTGAACATCGCCAAGGTCCCATCCAAAGACCCCAACCTGAAAGGAATGCAATTTACATCACCAAGGTCCCCTCCAGACATGCCCCAATTTGGAGGAATACAATGTGCATCACCAGGTCCTCTCTAAAAAATGTCCCCCACTTGAAAGGTCTCCAGTTAAAATGACCAAGGTCCCTTCCAAGATGTCTCCAACTTGGAAGGTATCCAATTATCATCATCAAGGTCCCCTCCAAATTTTTCCCACTTGAAAGGAATCCACTGACAGTCTCCGAGGTCACCTCCAACTAGCCCTGCTTTAGAGGAATGTAATGAACATCACCTCGGTGCCCTTTAATGTCCCCCAATTGGATGAAATCCGATTAACAACACCAAAGTTAACAAGGTCCCCTCCAAGGTGCCCTCCAAACGTCCCACACTTGGAAGGAATCCCAATGAACATCACCAAGGTCCCCTTCAAATGTCCTCCAATTGGATGATCCAATCAAAATCACCTGAAGGTGCCCTCCAGATTCCCAGGGCCCAAAATAATTTTCAGACGGTAGTCAGACATGTTGACCAGCCAAAGAAATGTTTGTTTAGTCAAGTCTCGATTCTGATAGTCAAAATATTGGGAAAAAAGTTAATTTATCCTTGTGTAATTTTCTATTTAAGAATGTCATTGTATTTTAAAATAAGGTAATAACAAATAAAAATAAAATAAGCTCCTTATTGATTCCAAAAACAAACGTTCGGGACTACAATTGACAATCAGATAAAATTGCAAAAGACACCTATTAATAAAACAGCATTTAAAACGTTCAGTCCTTATTTGAGGAAGTACCTAGGAGTGACTACAATTCCTAAGTAATATTGTTTTACAGGGTGAAAGGAGATCCGCCAAAAGGCCCTCAGCAGAATTTGTGACGTTCTTCCACAAATTACTATCTATAAGGCCTCTAGAGGACTTAAAATGGGCATGGCCTCCTCCAATGAGACAAAGGTTAGGATTTGGCTCTTTGTTCAAGAATGAGAGTAATTGTGACCGGTCAACTTGACCAGTGAGTGAAGTTTATGGCCGGTCAAGTTGCAAATCAGGCCAGACAGAGTCTGTTGACCAGCCGTTACTTTCAGCACTACCTCCATTACTTCCCCTGCTTGGAAGAACCCAATTAACATCACACGGGTTCCCTCCAAATGTTCCCTAGTTGGGAAAAACTTATTAACACAACCAAGGTGGACCAGTCATATTGAACTCCTTACCTCCAGTATAATATCACCCTCATGAAGTTGGCCTGTTTCATAAGCTGAAAAAAAAAGACCAAAGAAAAGGATCAGAATGAATAGAACAATATAAATGGAAAGAATGCTCACAGGTAAACAAGTTTCAAGGGAATTACCAACCAAGGACACTGGCATCTATAACCCCTTATACCCTAAACCAAAATTTTTTATTTTCATTAATTTGTCCCGTACATTTCCTTTAATTAGTAATACATCGTAGTGGCAAGAAACCTTTAAAGCATTAATTACGCTGACAAAAATACTTTGATGGGAAGGAATTTTCAACAAAAACCATCACTCAAAGACAGTTTATTTTAGGATTATAGCACGGACTTTTCTCCATTGACATCCTAACATTTTGTGGGAAAAGGAAAGGAATGCCTCTCAAAAAAGGGGGCTTGTGGGAACCTCTGGGTTCCCCTGGGCAATGCACCTGTATGAACTGCCGCTGGGAGAATAAAAAGTAGCCATTGAGAGAGGGTGGGTAATGAGCTGAGGGAAGTTAATAGATTTAGATGTTTAAGTATAATTTAGATAGCCTGCGAACTGCAGACGCATTTCCGGTCGTCGCTTCTCTCCCTCCGAAAAATAGCGTCTGCGAACCCGAGCGGCAAAACGATTTCCGTGACGTAAAACCTCTTGTTTTGATGTAGGGAATCAGATCAAAGGATAGAATACAGCTCGAGTGACTCCTCGCGACCTCGCGCGCTGAACTGTCTTGGATTTTGGAGAGAATTACCAAATACACTTTGGAACGTGAATTTCACTTCTTTGACTTCTTTGTGAAGCAACTGCTTCTTAAGCTGTGTATGTGATGTGGGCCTTTGGTTTCGCTTTATAAAATACGGTAGTACGTGACATAAACAAAACCTGGACAAAATAATCGCTACTGTGAAAGGAAAGCAACATAGCTTAATGACATCGCGCTCAGACTTATTTATTTCAATTTAACCAGCACTGATAAAAGGTGGTGAATCAATTATACAGGCACTTCCTTGACTGATTCAGAAATCTCTAACAATCGCTGGTTAATAATTCTAGTATCGCCACAACACAATGATCTGAAATATTATAACCTGGGCCAGACCCAGTGTGAAATAAATAGTTACAGCAGTAAATAAATCATAGTCAAAATGACATTTCAGCTACGACGCCTCTACTCATCTCACAGAAAACTATGGAAATGAGAACCTTGAAAAGAACATGTGTTTAAAGAAATATACCGGAACAAATACAAAATGCTTTCGATCTGATCAAAGTTCTATCTGAACCAAGAAGCAACCACGCATGGGAAATCAATCACCACATGTCCTACCTTTCAAAGATAAAGGATATCTACTAAAAATTATCTAAAACGGCACATGACAAACTCCAAGGCATACTTTCCTGCCAGGAACCAGAAAGGAACAGAAGCAACAAACGGCATGATGCATCTACTGTCATTAGGACAGTTATCATTTCGAAGGCAAAATAGATGAAAAATGTCCTCTAATCTTTTCTTCGATATGAATCCTCTTGATACTTATTTCGTCAATCAGTCCCACAATCCTGGCAAATTAACTTTCGTAAACGCACCGTTCTGAGAAAAAAGGACGGCTATACACAAGCCACGTTGTTCTTTCAATTTCGACTTGAAAACATATCCATCGCGAACGATCCTGCGAGAAGTCTCGTGAGTTAGTTCCTTGATTTTAAGAGCTAAACCGTGATCGGCTAAAAAGGTTTTACGTCACAGAAATCGTTTTGTCGCTCGGATTCGCAGACGCTATTTTTCGGAGTGAGAGAAGCGACGACAGGAAATGCGTCTGCTGTTCGCAGGCTATAATTTAGACAATTAAGTGATCATATTCTATATTATTTTTACAGTCAAATTCACTTCAGTACCTGCTTGGTCCTTGTATATTCTTGAAATGGCTATTGGTAGATTGCTTTCACGACCCCCCTACAAAATGATTAATTTTAGTAGTTAATATTAAGCTAAATAGAAATAAGATACGTAGGATTGCAAAAAGTACTGTAAGAAGAATATAGAGCAGGTGTAATTTGAATGAATCATGCATGCAACAAATTTTGATTATGCCCAATAGGAGAATAATCCCTTATATAAGTGACATAGGCATGTGCGCACCTGCAATGGAATGATTTTTGACCCCTTTTTTCATGTGAAAGTTTGGCTACAGATTGCTACAGTGTAACCAAAAATACTGTAAATGGTTTTGTTCTGTCTGAGCTTTCCACAGACTGGGATTCAGTTTGTTCTCTGTATTATTTGCCTCTTCAGAACAGTGGTCCAGGTTTGCAATAGGGTGCAGAAAATAATAATTATTGCATTTTGGGGGGTAAATTAAAGTAAGGGTAATAATAATCATCATCATAATCATAATAATAAAGTTCTTTGGTTCTGTGGCATGTGATGGGGAGATGGCTTTAATTATTATTATTATTATTATTATTATTATTATTATTGTGCTTACCTTTATGCTCATTCCCAATCCTCCAACTTTTCTCCTTGTCACTGTAACTTTCCTTTCCTGAGCAAAACAAATCAATAAAAAATATAGATTAAAATAGTCAGCAAAAAATCAAGATTGATCATTTCTCAGTTTGATAAGCTTATGCCTGTAAAAGTAACTGAATCCAGTGCAAATATATACACAAAAATTTCTAAAATTTATTTCCAGCCATATGCACATACAACATTAATTTTTGATGACTACCATTGTAATTGTTCCCTTCACCAATGCTTGTACAGTCAAACCTGTATATGACGGCCTGTATATATATATAGAGCAGTCACGCCATATATTATAGTCACTGTATGTCCAAGACAAACTTCCCAAAATTTTCAGTTACCTTATATTTTCTGCAAAAATGACCTGTATACAAGGTTTTAGCCAGAAGGGTGTCCAGCCGTCCTATGGAAGCCCATTTTTGGAAGAGATACCAGGAAAATTCACCTAATCTCTTATAATTTTATGGGAAAACATGCCTTGTGGACAGCCAGTATCCAATGTCTGGCTTAAAAAGCCTGCCTGTATATATGGTCACCTTGCCATTTCCTTAGGGTGACCATTATACACACTCTGGTTTGACTGTCTTGGGAACCCCAATAATACCACCACCAATGGGCCAAAAAAATTTAGCCGTTTTTACAGTGCTTGGCCGTATTACTGGGGCAGGGTCAAATTCCATGACGTATTAAGGACTGTAAAGACAAAATACACGATGTATCGCATTTGCTCTTCTTGTACAACTGACTGTTCTCTTTAATAAAAAACAGGAATGCATAAAAACTACTTGAAACTTTCCTTCAGTACATAAAACAGTTTTAAAAATCAGCTATTAGACTGCCACAAATGCATTGTTTATGTAAGTGACTTAAGTGACTACTCTAAAAACAGTACAAAAACAAGCTCAGCTCACTAGGTCAATGAAATTGACCTGCCACACGCATTTTAAGTTTCAAAATTTCTGACATGTGGATGTATTAACAGAGTGAAACTGTAAAAGGTTCTACTGTTTGGGATTTTAAAATGTTGCCAATTGGCTGTATTAACGGGTGACCGTAATAACGAGAATTTTTTACAAGAAAATGTTTGGCCGTTCTGCTGGGCCAAAAAAAGTAACCATGATAATGAGGTGACCATATTACTGAGGTGGCTGTTAGGCGGGTTCGACAGTACAACCAAAAGGCAGGGCTGTCCTTAAGGGCCGGGGATCGAGGATTTCCTTTGTCTACTATGAATGTGACCTCCGGCTAATTCCATAGGAAAATAGATGAAAAAAAGAACTGAAAAAAAACCCTGGCTGCTTGATTCCCCACCTTCATCTTATATTTACCCGGCAACTTGGGATATTAGTGACAGCCATGGAGAGGAATTTTCAGTTTGGTCACTATAATTACAGGGTTGAAAAGACAGTTATATGACTAAGAAACTAAAATGATATGATCACTACTGTGAGACCAGATCAATGAACTGTTTGTATTAAACCTACCCCTGTTGGTAGGGGTTTCCTCTGAGTTGGAGAGGGTGTCTCTCCATTTGTGCTCTAGAAAAAAAAGATGAAACAAATGCATTATTGACCAAGTGTGAGGTCGTCAAGATAGCTGGATATTGGCCTTCTGAGTCCTTTTTGCATTTTTATATATGGACCAAGACAAAGTCCAGTTCAACAAGAACGCTCTTAACCCTTTAAGTCCCAATGGTGACTAACGTCAATTTTCTCCCAACAATATCCATACAATGTAAAGTGATTAGGTTATGAGAATTAATAAAATGATCACCTACGGGAAAATGCCCCGATCTTTTATCAAATTCTCTCAACTCATTCATGAAGGAAATATATGGAGATCAGTTTGGAGAATTGGTATGTGGATATTGGGGCTTAAAGGGTTCAATAGCATTGAGTCTCGCTTGCTTGGAAATAAGATAAGAAATGAGGAGGCGATTAGACTGTGAGCAGTTGTCCTTCTTTCCTCAGAGCCATGCGCAGCGAACAAAAAAGTAAAACTAATGCTGAAGACCTACTGTGACAAAAAAAGGAAGTCTAGGAGGCACTATATTCAATATGAAATAGGATTTCCTCGCTAAACGTTTTCCAATTCCTACTTTATCAATGGTCGAGAATTCTTCAGGACATCTACTTTTTTTATATTGTATTCGACGATTTGCTTCTGAATTGATCAGAATGCGTGTGTAAATACACAAAAATCAAGGAAATATGATGAAGGTGGCATGTCATTTCAATTGTCACCAAAAATAAACCGCATACTCATCACAAGACTCATTTTCATACAACAACAGTTTACAACACCAGACCTAAACATTGAACTTTCCGACCACTGAAGTAATCACTTTTTTGGTGATCATTTCTTATTAATTCATATAATCTGAATCCATCTTGCCAAAGCAGGCAGCCAATCAGAACACACAATTTAATTGCCCACTCCCAGATTCAGCCATACCAGCACTCACAATCAAATTGCTTAAAATGCTTAAAGATTGATTTTAGATTCTTCACTTACCCCAGATGGAGATTTTTTCCATGTTGGTGAGTCTGGTTTGCCATTTGCATTCTAAAAATAATATCAGTCAATATTTGCACTTATATGCCATGCAAAAACATCTTGGTATTAGAATTTAACTTCATCACTCCTATTTGAGTTTCAGGCATGTTACAATTTTTCATCCTTCTTTACTTACAACTTATTAAACTGTCACATGTTTTAACGTTTAATTACAGATGCAAAGGAGACCACAAAAATCCAACAAATTGAACTTGAGACTGAATTTTTTTAAAATTGGTGTCACTTGCAATCATGAACTCCTCAGCAGCCACTACATGTAGGCCCCATGAAAACATCAAAAAATAATCTACCAGGACAGCCGGTAGCATTTTACTCACATCCTTGTTACATTTCAAAATTACATTCAGGTTAAAATTTTTTAACCCAGGTTGATTCTCAATTTCCTTTGTCTCTTAGCCCTAAATATTCATGAATTAGGGCTAGGAGACAAAGCAAAGGCAGATAATCAGCCTAGGTTTACAAAAACCTTTAACCTGAATCTAATTTTGACCTGTAACATTCTTGTTAAAAATGTTGGGTTACTGTTTGATTCTTAATTTTCAATGTCTGCCAAGGAATACATAATTGAATATTCTTTTGCTTATGCCAAGAGATTCAACCATAGAACCATAGAGAAATTATCACCTCATCATAAAAAAATCTGTGGGCAATTTTTTTAATTTTTTTTTATCACACTTTGTGATTTGATCTAAGATGGTTAATGGTCTGTTAGAGCCTGGCTGCACATTTTGCGCTCCGAGGGGAACATTAACATAAAGTAAAAAATGTCAGAAGATTGTATTTTAACTTTCAAGACTATTTCAAATACAAAAAGTTAATTAATTTTCACTTAAACTGAATTTATCGCTTGTCATTGAGGAACAATGCTTTTTAATTATTTGCTTTTCTGGAATATTTAAACTAACGCAATTTTAAGGCAAAGAACTAGACGTTCCGTGACTATATATAAATACATGTAAATATATCCTCTGTCTGTGTAAAGTCCATCGATGATAAGAAAATGACAAATCGCGCGTTTTCAAGAGATTGGTGAATAAATGAAAATTCTACGCAAATGCTTAGAAATTCATGATTTGCCCTTGCAATCAAATTGTGATTTATTTTAATGCATCAGTGAATTAATAAGTATTTATAACTATAAAAAAAAACTAAAAAAGGACGTCTTTTCATTGAAACCATTGCATGTCTTCTTGCCGAAAACACTTTCACTTGTTGATCTGATTTTCTTTTAGTGATATTCTCTGTTACCCCAATGACAGAAATCTGCTAACTTATTTTTTAACATCCGAATTATGCAAATCTGTTAAAAGAGGACAAAGACGGACAAAGGAAATCATTTTAATGGAATTGTTTGTGTGATCTCTAATTCACTTCCAGGTGTATATCATCAGAGACCACCCGGCTTCAAAGAAAAAAGAAAATTGAAATGTTGTTTACTGGTCCCTGTTTCCAGCGAGAATACAGGCGGTGTATCACCCTGGGAAATCAGTGAATTCATTGAATGAATTTGAATTGTTCGATACAAACGAATACGAAACGAAAAGTCAATAGTAAACAATCATAAAGGAAATTGAACAACATCGAAAATCGATCGAAACGTTAATTTCTTACTGGGAAATCAAATGACAGAACATTTAACCTGATCCCAACTAAAATCGTCTCGATCTCGTAACGTCTAGTAAAAATATTCTCAGCTGAAGCTCAAGTTAAAAGATAGAAAAAATAAAAAGAAGAAGTATTAGCTCACCCCGGGCTGATAAGCATGTGATGAACCCGTAGAACCGCTTCCTCCACCCTCCTTCTGTATGGTCAAGGCATCCCTCGATAACTTAACACGCACCTTCTGCAACTCCGAGCGATTAATTTGCATCGAAATACAGCCTGTTTTTAAGAAATTCTGTAATAACAACGAAGAACATAACGATTAGTCAAGATTAAGTCATACCAACACGTTCAGATTTCGTATTAATCGACATCGTGCTTGTTGAAAATCATAAGAATTGAATTACCTCGGCCATTATGGACAGCGACCTTGCTCCTCGTGTTATGTTTAATATTCACACAAAGAAGCCATGAATAAAGCAATTTAAGAGAAACACAAAGGTTTTTAAACTTGCAAATGTCTTAAATATCCAGCAGAGCTTAAACAACCGACACAGCCTCCCCGTCTGCAGCTCATTGAAAATATCATGTTTTGATACGCAGTGAAGTCTTTCAGTGCGCGCGGGCGCAAATAGATTAATTTTGAAAGCCAATATTTGCATAATCTCTTCTGTGCTGGAGTTAGATGATAAATAATCACTGTTATGTCCTGAAACATTTCAGTTAAACTAGCTTGATCTCTTTACTCTCTCCATGATGAAAGGTATTTTTATACTAAGTAAATGTTACTGAATGTAAAGCCATTGAAAATGGATCCTCTGATATATTATCAACCTTGAAATTCTCTATACAACAGGCGATTTAGGAGGATTGGCCGATGGCTCAAAGGGTTGTCCTATCTTCAAAACAGAAACACACTACAAATTCCGGAGTAGAAGAAGAATCTGTGTTAGAAGAATGTTGCAAATCCAGCCTGAAGTCAAGAACATCTCTCTTTGAAAAAGCCACAAAACCTAAAGACACAGATAGACAGCTTGGAGAGATTGCCTCCATTGTCTTGCACAAAACTGAGTAAATTAATCAGCACACGACCATAAATCATGCCATGCCTTCGGCGAACGACACTCTAGTGATTGACCAGTGTCCCAAGGTAGGGGGGATTCGTTAGTTTTTGAGAGGAGCACCTTATCATGCACTTTCCACTAGAACGTGCCCATGATAGAAATAGAGGATCGAAAGTACAGCATGAAATTACCACTTCTAAAGACGTATTCAACATGATTCAAGAAGAAGACTTTTGCCCTTTGTTAACTTATCAAATCTATCAAACGTAGACTAGAGTAAAGATCATAGCGCTACTACATCGTCCTCTCGGGATGGAGTGAATTTACACACGCCCAATAACGCAGATGCATATCAAGAAGACTGCTTTAAGGTCAGGTTATTCTGTTAGTAAAGTTTTGCAAAATTTTTAAACTGAATATTGTTGCCATGGCGTGACTTGGCTTGACCCAAAAATATTTGCGAGGTGGTATTTTTTTCACCACTAAACCGCTGATGATATGGAACAACGTGCTTTTTCACTAAAATATAAAGAATGTAACTGATCGTTTTATTTAACCGGTTCCCTCTGGAGGGCGGTTTTATAGCAGGAAATATAAACGTATAAAGTCCCCAAGAGAACGACGCTCTGGGAGTCTTATAAACCAATGTTCATCTGGGCGTTACTTCAGGTACATACCTTTTTCAGAACGGCATCTCCTTTGCACAGTAGAAGAGGACAACCATCACTTATACCTTGGGGGTGCTATTAGTTTAAATCCTGTTCGGCACTGACATAAAAGCAAAATGAACTTCATTTCCCAAAATTTCACGACTTGTGTTACCTTGTTAACCAATTCCCGCCAGCAGAAAAAACAAGTGATAAGCGAAGTGTCGAAAGATAAAATCGATGACAGAAAAAGGCACCAATAGGATAAATCAACACAAAATTTGTGACAGCGTGATTCGAGTTTAGAATGAAGAATCAATTGTTTAGATAGCCTTTCATAAGAACCGCTCAGGAAATTGTTACTTTAAGAAATAAAAAATCACCCAATTTTACGTGGTAAACTTCTAGCAAGATTGTTTAAACATGTATGATCTATTTCTGGTTTATGTTGCAAATTTCTCAAAAATGTTTAAAAAAATTAGAGGAAAAATTACGAAAAGAGTTTGTGGTTAGACAGTTTCACTACCGAACAAAATGAAAATATTCCGGTTTTTTAATCAATGATCGGTCACCGTTCAGAGGAAAAGATTAGCGATAAAACCACAGATAGTGGATAGATGAAAGATAAGGCGATTTGAGTCAACAACAATACGTGATCAACTTTGCTCCTGAGGCATTTGTCATAAAAGTTATTCTGGGGTCATTTGACTGCCATACTTTCTATATTTACCCTTTCTTAATTGTTAATACTATTACATTCTAATACTCTAAGGGAGCTGCATATGCCAAAAATTTCTCTCTGTGGTTTTTTAAGTTTCGACATGTTGCACTTTCATTATATTAAGGGAGGTTTGCTCCGTAGGGAAAGAAATAAGCACAAACGGAAACAAAGCAAAACAAGATCTGAAGGACTGCTCCTCTCATCATAGATGCAGGGTATAGTTAGGAAAATAAAAGAGGTCAAGGAGGCCTTGAAAATAGCTAGTTTAAGAAAGGTGGTGATTCGATCCAGCGCCTGAAGTCGGAGAGCGAGAACAACCTCTGCTGCTCCAACAACTTAAACTGGGGCCGTCTGCATAGGTCTCCTTACCGTCTCCTTAATTAGCTTCGGCGTTCGCTTCAGTTACCGGACACGAGCCTGTAAACATGCAAGTTATCTCGGCGATCTCCGGGATCTACTTGATCGAGGAGCGGGGAAACGCAGCCGCTAACTGGAACTAAAGCCAGAAACTGTTTAATATTTCAGTGGCTAAAACTATCTTTTTTATAGCTGATTTCAAAGCTCTAGTGTTTTGGCTCGAATCTTTGGAGAGAAATAAAGTCAGGCTCTATATAGGAGAGGATTCTTCCGATAGGAATTCGTTGACAGCTCTCTCCTCCGCCCAGGCCTCTTTGCTTCCAAGGACGCTCGGACGAGAGGGAGAAATGACAGCGCGAGATCCGCGAGAGGGAGAAATGAAAGAGAACGCTTACTATTATTATTATTATTATTATTATTATTATTATCATTATTTGAGCCCCTGCGGAGGATTGAGTAGTAGCAGTCTATGAATCAGAGAATAAAAAGAAAATTTTCGGAAATGGTCATAATAGTGGGATATAAGCAAGTGATCTTGCCATTCAACTGTGTTTTTGAGAGCTGGTTTATTTTCTTCCAAGTCAGAAAAGAATGATATGCTATATTAGTCCATAAGAATTTCTTTTAGAAGTTGCAGGCAATATCATTATCGCCGAGAATAGCCCGAGCAAAGAACGCGTTTATTAAGAGAAAAGAACTGCTGACAAGAGCCTTCAGCCTTTGCCTGAAGAAGAGAATTATAAAGACTGTCATCTGGAGTACTCTCGATCTTGTATGGAGTCGAATCGGGGACGTTGAAGCCGCAGAGCTGTGAGATGTTTTGGAGAAAAGTCTCAAGCATTTCTTGGTCTGACAAAGTCTGTAACGAAGAAGTATTGAGGCGTGTCGGTGAGGAGAGAGCCATCATATCTGTCATCAACAGAAGACAGAGAGTCTGGCTTGTTCATACCTTACGGCATGGTGATCTTGTCCGCGAGCGGGAATGCTGGATAGAATGAAAGAAGGTAGCCGTTACTCAGCGGTCAAGAGGCACGCCTTAGATCGAGAACTATAAGGAAGGACCTGCCTCTGGGCAGAACACAGACACACACATCATAATAATAAAAGAGAGAGTTAACAGAGAGCATGATTTAGCAAAAAAACGTTTACGGCAAACTGCAAACATCAGATTCAAGTTGACAGCTTCGCCGAAGTGGGAAACTGAAGAGATCTAGATAAGAACTGTGCAAAATTATTGTTATGTGAACCTGTCATAAAACTCTTAGTTCTGGGTACAAACCAGAGAAATAAAGAGCAGAAAACGATTATTTCACTCTTTGACGTCCGCGTAAGGTGGGCAGCAAAACTGTCTATTAAAAGAAAGGCAAAGGGAAAAACAAGAGAGAGAGAGAAAAAAGATCGAAATAGTCCAAATTTTTGGCTTACAACTGCGCATACGGCTCGAAAACAAAAAGAGCTGCTTAATAACATCGAATTCAGCAGAAGATTATGCCCATATTGTTGGATTTTTTGCCATGCTAACTAGCCGAAAAACGGTTCAACAAGGATTTGGTCAAAAATGCGGCTTTTTCCCTGATAAATGGCTGACTGTAGAGGCTGGGTCAAGAGGAAACTTGGTCACGTGGTACATATTGACGTTTGCCTTTTGTCGCCGATCTGAGTCTAATGGCAATATACATGGGCTCCTGCAATATATTAATAATTTCATTTACCACGTTTAAATATAAGTGGTTTCGATCACAAAGACATTTCAACCAAAAGCTTTTTCTTAAATAATAAAATAAGTTATGAGTTTATGATTCGCCGCAGGTGGATTTCGCAAATGAATCTTTAATTTCAAATTTGAATATCTCTACAGGCATCCAGTCTGAATTGCGATCGTTGAGCATTATCCAAGTATACAACATACAAGATACTACTGTTCAGAAATTATCTAGTGAGGCGCTTTCGATACCCGGAAGGGGGGAGGGGATGGATTTGAAGAGATGGAGAGAACACCCGTGGACAAGGGAGGAAGGGTTAGCGTGTAAGGAAGATCCCTTCCCCTGATATTTTTTTGTAACAGGAGTCACTGACAACTTGGTCATTTTTTCAGGAATTTAGAACAATTACCCGTCGTTTTGCACGCGCGCTGCTGTTGATCCTTCACATAGGAGGGAGATGAAAAATGGCTGGGATTTGAGACGGCGGATCCAATTTAGAGGAATACGATCTTCGCATGCGCTTGATCAGTTACATTTTCCGAAACGTCAGTAGGTTAATTGAGTTAAGATGATACTGCTGTACTGACTTCGGTAACACTAAATGAAGTAACGCACTTAATCATTGCAAATCAAAACACAATTCTCGTCGACGGTCATTACCCAATAAATTAGCTCTTAAAACTGAAGTGTTCATGGCGATCATGCTAAGAGATTGCGCCAAGATACACACCTGTATTTTTTTATCATCAGCAAATTTTGTCAAGTTGGAATTTCTATCGTTTTCTGTTCGTGCCTGACAAGTTAACCAGATTAAGTAATTTTTTTTTTACCATAAGGCGGATTTTCACCCTGGAAACACGAGAAGTTACCACCATGCGCCCATTTTCTTCCTCCTTTCATTCATCTTATAGAAAAAAAAAAATGACCGAGAACGAACGCGTGAAACAGCAGTCATCTAAGCACAAGGCGCATTAAACAGCCAATTAATATATCGAGTTAATTTCAACATCCCAATTGCGCTGCAAGTGTAGTGTAAACAGAAAGTTTCTTACCTTTGCACAAACTATAAAAGATCCAACACCTTCAGTTTTTGCTTGCGAAAGGCCGGAAACCTTGGACAAGGATAAAGAGGCCTAAGAACTGCTTTCGCGACTGAAAGGAAATATCTTTGCTCTCAAGTCCGTAGATACAAGAATCGTGCGAAATTTCGTGACGGTAATACAATATACAATTGACATTCCATAGCAAAATTGTTTTCCTTAAGGTGGAATGAGTACCAATATAAAACATCAGTTTAGCTATCGTGCAACAGAGTGGGTGTGAGAATCGACAATATAAAGGAAAGGAAACCGAAAACCGTTGTGTTTTCCAATATTGCTGTACTAAATCAATTCAGCTCGTTGAAAATTTTCACCTTTACCATATTTAGCTTTTTTTCGAGTCACTCCTCTAAAGCGGAAACATAGCAATCCAAGATGAAATATTCGAGGTACTTCTGGAACTCAGTACGTCACACTGAGTGTAGGCGTGTGCCCAAGAAGACTTCCATTAAATGTTGAAGTTTAGAAAATAAAAGAAAAGAATAGAGGAAGACGGAATCATAAAGTAATATCTTAAAAGTGTTAACTTGTTTTCCTTCTCAGTGTGGGAGCTAGACTATTCAGTCCCCCTGTTTTTTTGGGCGATAGGCGGCGGTGTACAGCTAAAGAGTGTAACTAGGCCGGCCAGGGAGAAAGTGTATCATGGGTGGCTCCTTCTCCATACGTACCGCTATAGACCCCGTTACTCCCTTCCGTAGAATTGATACCAGGGTTGATACCAAGAAGCAAATGGTAACCTGTTTGTCTCAACGATTTTACCCAAAATATAAGGTAATGTAAACAGTTCATGAGGGAACAAGGACGGATGATTTTTTCCACTTATTTCAGCAGCTCACCACGCCGGGGCTAAAAGAGGAGAGGAACAGAATGCAGAAACAACTTCTTCGAGCACTTTCTTGCTCCGCCTCCCACAACCTCCCCCTTGCTGAGTGCTGATCCATAACCAATGGATATTTGATTTTTTTGTGGGGGCAGATACCCTCGCAGTGATAGAAAGGGAAGAATTTGGATTTCCTTATTCCTGTCCCCTTTCACTTTTACGCTTTAGTTCACAGGATACTTCTTACTAGAAGTGCTGCACTGTCTCTCTCCTAGCCGTATAATTTCTCGCTGTTCGTACGCCTTTTTATTGGTGGCATCAAATTCAATGCCTTTTGGAGTTTCCAGGACCATATGAAGCAAAAATCTTGTAGGATCAGTACAAATGACACGTTAATCTCGTACGAGATTACTGACACGTGGTAAATAGACGGTCAAATGCAGTTAATGAAATAAAAAGGCAATCTATCTCTATTATGAGCGTCAGAGGATTTTGGCTTAATAGCGCGGTTCTATAATTTTCTAGCGTTGCAATTCCGCATTTTGAGGTTGCACGTGAGACCCGGTCGAGATGGTGCATTGTGGGACTGTTTTAGGGGACCCATTTTCAACATGGAGGCAAATTTGTTCCCCAAAGGCGGTCCCACAATGCACTTGACAACCATCTCGACCCAATCTCCCGCTAATTTCTCCCGCTCCACCTCAAAGCGACGAATATCTAAGTCTTTCCCAACCTCATTTCCAGTCTCTCTCACCAGGGGCCCGTTTCTCGAAAGTCCCGGTAACTTTTCGGGCCCGAAATCAAATATTCAAATCGAAAAATAAAGAATAAGAGGGCGGGTCCTGGCTAGCAGATTACTACATTTTGTTTCATTAACTGATAGTTTTATCATGCTAGATGCAAAACTATTGAAACCTCGATTTTTAATGTAAACGGAGACAGCTTACGGGGCCCGTTAATTATCGGGACTTTCGAGAAACGGGCCCCAGGCCGAGAAAGAGGGATGAAGAGAGACTCTGGGAATTACGAGGTTGTAGTATTTCCACCATGACCTGCATACCATAAGTAAAGCCCGTTTCTTTGCTTTCATTGAAGTAGCAATGGGATGTAATTAAACTGTAAGCTAAGGAGAACAATGGTTTGTGAGCCAAAACCCGTACTATCATTCTTTAGATTTTTTGTGTTAAAATGTCGCTTGCAGGTGCAAAGTTACCCGGTCTTACGAGTATTAAAATATCCTCAGTTTGCGGTTAACCGAGGATTATAGCTAACCCGCTTCGAACAAGTGAGCGCTAAATTGGGTACCAAAAGTCTTATCTCGCGCGGAACGGGATAGACTGCGAACAGTCTCTCTTCTTCAGATTTATTGAGGGAAGAGCAAAAAGAGGGCCCCTCTGGTGCCGCGCCTTCAGTCACGCGCGTTTCGCTCGACGGACGAAGTTCTGAATTGAGAGACTGCTCGAAGTCTAGGAACGGGATGTATTGGGGTGAGACACTGTCCGAAGAAACGAGCGGAGAGGCCGCGGAAAAATTTTCTCACGCCCGCGCGACTTCCCCACATATAAGGGGAGCTTGCCCGCAAGCTAAAATGACCGAAAAAGGAAACCGTGCGCTCCTAGGGTACTCAGCTCTGGATACAAAGGGAATACACTAAACTCGAACAAGGCCAAAGAAATAAAATTCTCTGCTTTTATTTATGTCGTGATACTTCTTAACAATGTAGTTATATGTACAGTCGTAAGCGCTTAATATAATTCTGTACAATATCTGGTACAATATGTTCCATAAAATACTTTTGTGTAAAATGCATTGAAGCGTCAAAGTTACTTTTGGAAGTACGATTTTCATACTGTCAGAAGCCTCTCACAGAACAAAAACAAAATTGCTGATTAAAGCGAGTAGGTTAATTGCTTTTAGTACGTAAGAAAAAAGAATATCTTATTCTCATTTCTTAGCTTGGTATAACTCTCATAGTTGTCTAAGCTATCAGCTTGGTCTTTGACCTGAAAAAGTTGGCCTGATTTTAACACGGTATTAAAAATGCGTGTTCCAGCAATTTAATGTTCTGGCTTTTATAAAACAATGTACAACAGGATGTCGTGTTAGTCGGAAGAATACGATCTCTTAAGACCGCGGTTTTCTTACCCGAATGGGTGTTAGCGCCGAAGCCGAAGTGATCATCAGAGCAGACGACGCCGATCGTGACTGATCGCACAGCACTTTGATTGGATAACGATGATCAGCGGGGGTTTCGCGGGCATCGGCGAAGGGTTCCGCGAGAGAAGGCTGAATCGGAATTCTTCCGACTGTGGATGTTTAGCAGAAGTTTAGCGGATGAGAAAACTGGGATCTTAGGTGATCTACATGTAGCTCGAAAACGAGAATAGAAGAAAGAAAAAAAGTAAGGCGTAGTAGAAAAAGGCTTTGGACTTGCTGTGTTCCACATCTAGTCATCTGCTCTTACTATGAGAATGTCTACTGCCGGTTGAATAAGACATGTTCATGCCGTAAAAGAAAGGATGGCTCATTGCTTCCTTGGCTGTTAAACGTTTCTCTGGTTCATAGTCCAACAAGTGTTCTATAAGGTTGAAAAAGAGTTCGTGGGTTTCTCCGTCTCCGCGCTTGTATTTCTGCAAAATGTAAGACAATAGGGAGATTAGAGTCGTGTTTACGGTAAAAGGAAATTGTGATCATTTCCCCTTCACTTGTTATTTGCTGTTCGTTTTACCTTAAAAATAGACTACGTGTAGTCCCTCAATTTTCCTCAGGGATAGTAGAGCGAACGAGACGCGAGCGCGCGTGAAAATCGCCCGACGCGAGAAAAGGCGAAACGCGTCCACTATCCCTGAGGAAAAATGAGGGACTACTCGTAGACTATCTAAAACATAATGATTATTTTTACTTCAGGTTCTCCCATAAGAATTATTTTGGACAGTTTTTATGTGACATGAACCTGATGTTTCCCGTTTGCCGTCTGCCCCAAACGTTACTCTAAAATCTCTCCAATAGGCCATTTGTACGATGACGTCATTTTACTACTACTACCAGAATCCTTCAAGGTTTTGCTTTCTTGTGCAAATTAGGGCTTTTGTTATTTAAACCTCAACGGGATTAACAAATTTAAATATGAAAGAAAAAACGAAATGAATTCTGGTCTTAGTAGTAAAAAGACGTCATCGTGCAAATTGGTATAAAAGTAAGACATGAAATCAAACCAACCTCGTTCCCAGGTTCTATCTCCTAACCGTTCTCTCTTTCTCTCTCGCTCCGTAGGGACGGGTAGGAGAGAAACTTGGGAACGAGGTTAAAATCAAACGTCCTGTGGTTTCTCGCAATTGATTTTTTTTTACGGAAACAAAACGAACGAACGAACCAAAACGCGAAGATGCCACGTGAATATTCCGAAGTCCAAAGACGAGTATCATTTTTTTCTCTGTTTTTGTTTGTAAAAGAGGCAAAGACTCGTGCAATAGAGCGGTGGACTGCGGAGTGCAAGCAACCACTCCTTAAGCCAATAACAATAAACTAAAAGAAGTAACTAGAAGTAACAAGTAAGGAGAAAAACAAGTGAAGAAGCTAATTTTACCCTGAGAGCCTTGCAATTCTCCCTCACGTATCTCCCAGCAGAGCTCCTCTCATCCCAGTCCAATTTACCTTTGTAAAAGTACTTTGTTTTTCTAAAGGAAAGAACAGTGAGACATTGATCAGATTTGACACTATATGCGAACAAAAATGATACGGAGCGACTATGAGGAAATTTTGGCTGGGTGGGGTATAAAATTATGCACACCGTAAATGATCGATTAAGCGCCGCACCTTTATCGAAAATAATATTTAATAGGCGCCGTTCTCGATTAAGCGTCGCGGCGCTAATTTGAATATTTACAAATTTTCGCTCTACCTTTGTTACGGCGCTTAAAAAGACCTCGACCAACTCGTGAGTTCTAAAGTTTTACTGTAGTAAAACTTTTGAAGCCACCTTCACATAACAGTTCGAGGTGTACATACTTTTTTACCAGATTGTGTATACCTAGTACGCGCCTTACTTAATTCTTTCTAAATTTCCCTCAGTGTTTTAACCGTAGTTGAAATAAGCGCCGCTCCTACAACTAAAAAAACAGCGAAAATTAAAGAAGCGCCGCGGCGCTTAATCGACCTGACGGTATTTACTTTTATAGCTAGACAAGTTAAAACGTTACCAATGATAAATAGCTTTACACGAAAGAAATAATTTAAATGGATTAAAATATAACATGGTTAAAAATACCAATTCATACTGGTAGGAGGCGAACCAGCTGGCTATTTTGCAAGCGCAGCCAACGATTTGAGCTCAGGACTACCGTGAACAAATCCAGCAGCTGAGTTATTGCTGAATTATTTAGGACTGACCTTGATTTTTTTATCATGTGTGATGGTAAGGGTCCGAGTATTCTCTCCATCATCGCAAGATGTTCTCTGTTCTCGTGAGTCTAAAATAACATGCTTTTGTTATGAAATATTGCATTTATGGTGACCAAGTTTATGATGTCTAAAGTCAAAAGCACTGGATAAAGGCCCTCCTATTTAAGGCAAAGCAATTTAACTGGCAATTAAATAAAGACACAAGTTGCAGAAACATAATACCTTAAATATTACTTTTGCCTCAATTTTGATACTAGCCTGTGAGCCTCGTCAGCAGAGCACCACAAAGAGTTTGCTTGCAGGCTATTTTGATACAGGTTGTCCAATCCAATGGAAAATGACTTTCAACTTGATAATAGAAATCTGGACTTATCTTATTTACTTATTTATTTTAATGCAGGGTTCACACCAATTTTATTCCTTACAAGTATACCATAAAATTCTGAAAATAAGCCCCTCCATGTATAAGCCCCCCGGACCGGTAACGCAAAAAAACCTCCATTAAATTGCCCCTCCAAATACAAGACCCCCGGGAGCTTGTACTTGGAAAATTGCCCTCAAATTACAAAGTAAAACAAAGCAAAAATGGTAAATTTACTTCCAACTATAAGGCTAGCCCAATCGATTTAGAAACGCAAATTTCCCTATGTAGATAAGCCCCTCTGAATATAAGCCCCTCCAAAAATAAGCCTCTCAAAAAGGGCCTTTGAAAAATATAAGCCCCGGGGCTTATTTTCGGAATTTTACGGCATTTGTTTTCTTCCAAACAACAAAGTGTAAAATACTGACCTGAAACAGTGTGAAGCCTGTGTAAAGCTCAAACATGATGCATCCGATACTCCACATATCGCAGGGCTGAGACCAGCCAAGTTCTAAAAAAAAAAAAAGATTACCGTATTTCTTCACCTATAAGCCGATCTCGGCTATAAGCCGAGACCCTGACTTTCAGGGTCTTTACGCTAGACTCAAGCTGCCCAAAAAAAAAGGTAAAACCATCGGCTATAAGCCGAGAGCGAAATTATTGATTGTAACTGGCCATTTGAGCAAGCGAACCTCACGGAAAACATAAGAAATTGACTCACTAAACACAAAACCTAATGAATTACAATAAACACAAAAGAAAAAAAGCGAACCAATCAAGAGATATGAATATCAATTGATCCAACGAACTGTATAAATACTACCACGCGACAACAGATTAACCACAACAACAATAATAATCTCAGTTAAACGTTTCAAAGTATCAATCGATCGCTGTTACTTTTTATCATCATGCCTAAAGCACGCCGTTCCTCGTATAGTATGGCTTTCAAGATAAAAGTTATCGCGGAAGCTGAAGCGGTAGAAAACAACTCGGAAATCGCTCGAGAATATGGACTAAGCGAGTCCATGGTACGACGCTGGAGAAGAGACCAGGCGACTATTCTTTCCGGAGAGCTGAAGATGTCTGCAAAACGTGCGACGAAAGGCCGTTTCACTCCGAAATATCCCGAACTAGCCCAGCAAGTGATGGAGTGGTTTTCACAGCAAAGAGAACAAGGTTGGTATTTACTTTTTTGTCTGAGATTTTAAGAGTTTTTGAAGAGTTGAATGATATCGTCTTTCAGTGCGTGGGAAACAGAGACTTTGATTGGTCAGAAATATGTTGTTGTCATGACAATTTCATAACATGTCACGAAAAGAATGCTGCAGTCACGAATCTACGGTTATCTCGCAGCAAAATAAGATTGTTATTTTATTTTTCGTAGGTATTGCTGTGAGTGGATTGATGCTTCGCCTTAAAGCTAAAGAGCTCTCCGATGATCCTGCTTTCAAAGCTTCCCGTGGATGGTACGAGAAATGGAAACGACGCCACTCGGTCAGCATGCGAACCAAAACAACTCTGGCCCAGCGATTGCCCGCCGATCTCGAAGAGAACATTGTGCGGTTTCATCGCTTCGTCATTGCAGCAAGAAGACGCGCCGACTACCCTTTATCCTGCATCTACAACATGGATGAGACACCCATGCGTTTTGAGCTGCCATCGAACCGAACACTGGGGGGTAAAGTTATTCAGCAACTGTATATTTTTAAAATGTAAAACCCTCGGCTATAAGCCGAACCCCGTTCTCCGTGAAAAATCTCCCAAAATTTTGGGTCGAAAACTGAAAAAATCGCTCGGCTTATAGGTGAAGAAATACGGTAGACTAACTTCACCAAAGATACTCTCAAGGAAGTTAAAATCTAGTATTAAAGTACATCTTCTGCATAAATGTAGCTCAGCCAAAGGTGAACAGAATGGTAAATAACATCAATTTACTCATGTAAATTTTATACAGCACTCATCTTTTTCTAATCTCTTTTATGATGGAGTCTTCTAATGTGATTCCTACTTTTGGGCTAGGATGAAATCCAGTGATGTGACATTTCAAATTCTCTTCGCTAGTATTTTCACATTATTCTACTTGTTTTTCAGCATTAAATGCACAATGAAATTGAGAAATTTTGGTTGAATTTAACTTGGCCACTTCTGAGGTGGAAAGAATTGGACACGATTAGAGTCCATTATTAATCATTGTGAAGGTTGGTCAACCTGGCAAATACCAACCTTCACATCATAAACCCATGTACTGTTAAGGCAAGCCAAGATTCACTGCACTAAGTAATTATTCAAATGGGACAATAATTCTGACAAAGTTCTAAAACTCTCTACAAGGAACAAGCCAGTGCAGAACTCACTCACCAAGAACGACTTCAGGTGCACGGTAATGCCTTGTTGAAACTACAGTACTATGGTGCTCATGATCAAATGTTGCTGATCCAAAATCAATGAGCCTCATATCTGAACTTTTCACTATCCGCTCATCTCTTTTCTGTAGGGAGAACAGAGCAGATAAGTTCAATACTAAAAAAACATTAATGTAAAAAACCCCGAGAAGGCACAGGTAAGATTTTTTTTTCACTGCTCATAATGTGGGATTTTTCATCAACTCAGAATGGTAACCATTCTTAAATTTGCTTGTTTGCTTTTCTTTTCTGCTGATGCTTTTTAAACGTGGCTAAATGTAATTTAGGCTAAGTTAAACATGAAACAATGATGACCAGCAGTTTTCCTGAGTTTTCCCACTGAGTTGGTGTGAGGGGTGGCTGATGGTTGTGTGCAGGGGTGTTGCATGAGTACAGCCGGGCTTCAGACGTCAAGTCATTCTGCATTCTGCTTCTTGCCAAGTTCTAACTTATATGATCCCCAGCTTGGCATGGAACGTATGTGGTAAGAAACTTAGTTTTCAATGTTTTTTTAGTGTGACCATCCCTGCCAGTTGCCGCTCACAAGGTTGTCATGGATACCTAATGCTGTTGACTCGGCTTGTCTGGTGGCTCCACCTTCCTTCATCAAGCACCATTCCCCAAGATCATCTATTGTTGATGAGTTTAACAAGATTTTATGCTACATATACATAGTACGTCCCACGTTATAGCAGCAAGGGCGCAATAATGCAAACAATAATTTACAAACCAGTCTTGAATTGTAGGTAACATTGCAGTCAGAGTTCACAAACAGCATGTTCTCTGGCTTGAGATCAGTATGGCTCAATTTCATGTCATGAAGAACTGAAATTGAAATAATCAAAGTGTTACAAATAACACAGAGAACAAACAGAAAAGGAACTCATGTGAACATAAATCTGACATTATCAGAAGTCGTTAGCGGCTTTTCAAGCTAACCCATTAATAACCGCTTTGTACTAAACAAAAAGACACCTTCATAAAGGGAAAGCGTACATGTATTTACTTGCAGAAAAAGTACATTAAGAGGAAAGCAGCTAATATATCTGTATGTCCTTACATTTAACAGCCACAATAAGTTGATGAGAAATGTGCCTGACTTGATCCACAGGGTAGGGTTCATAGTTGTTGTCCTTCTAAAACAGAGAATTAGACAAAATAAAAGAAAGTTACAGTTGTATATTCACCGCGAGAAAAAAAGCAATTAAAAGGATAAAAAGAGCAATTAAGTCACTAACCATAAAATCAAACACACTTAATCCCATCTTCTCAAATACAAGGCACATGTGGCCATAGTGGTTGAACCAATCAAGCAACGTCACACAAAGGCTGAAAAAACAATGATGACAATAAAAAATCATTACAGGATGAGGCAGAGTGTGATGTAAAAAACTGTGCAATCAAGTGGGTACAGATGCCGGATTAAGTCAACTGGATGGTAAATTAATGTTACCAATACCTCAAGGTTTTTTATAAAAATAATGACTTCTGCCATTCCCTAACACATCTGTTAGTAATTCATGGTTGTTTGTTTGCATTGAACATTCAGAGAGGTTTTTACATACCTCTAGAGTGTTATTGCTGTGTTATTGGAGGGAATTTAACACCAAACTAGAGGTTTACTATTGCTATCTAATTAGTGTTGCTCTTAAATAATAAGCACCCATCCTCAGGATTATTTAACATCCATGTAGCCAGAACAAGAGCGATTAGAATTAGCAGATTCACCTGTCATGGAATTAAAATCTAAACAATACCAATACCTCCTTCCATTTCTATCTCTCTGCTGGATTTTTTCCAGAACTTTGATCTCTAACTTGGCAGCTTCTCTGAAAAAATAAATTCAAAAAAAATAGATTCAAGGCAGGAATAACTACTCAGAACATATAATACGCAACAATTTAAGAGGTACCTGGAAAAAGCCCTAAGTCACCTTCATGATATATAACATATTAATAACACAGCTAGATTCTCATTTCAAATTTCCTTATATTTTGTTCATGAACAAAGAGAGAATTTGACATTACAGCGAGGATAATTCAGGGCCTATGTTATTCCAGACATCCGTTTTTTGCAAAACATGACAAGGGTGGCCCAGGCTAAAATCCTGGATGTGATGCCACCTGTGGTTTGAGTTGGCTATTGGTTTTAGCCCATGCTCCAAAAGGTTTTTTGTGTACTCCAGTTTTCCTCTATCCCAAAAACCAACATTTCCAAATCCCAATTTGATCAAGAAGGGTAGAAAAAGAAGGGTCATTCCATAGTAATTTGGACAAATAAATTTCAAAAATCAAAATCGTTTGTTTCACTCAGATTATTGACAAATTGAAAATATATTAGTTATAGTTTATGAAAATGATAAACAATGTTTGTTGCCAGTTGTTGTTTATGCATAAATTATCATTAATTACAATTCACAGTGACAAAGCTGTTCGGAGGGGAAAGTTAATGTGTTGCTGGTAACTTAAAAATAAATGAGGTGGTGCTATCTTTAAATTATTATTTGCTGTTTATTTCTTTGTTTATTTATTTATCTACCAACCTGTATTTTTCAACATTTTTAATTACTTTCACAGCAACATATGTGTTGGTTTTCCTACGAAAGAGAGCAGAAAATTCCCATGGATCAATACATTTTGGTTCCTCTTATTCTTGAAGGTACAAACTGCTTAATATTATTACACTAGAAAGTCTATCTAAAGTAATAGAGAGTGACTTGGTTTAGCACTTCTTAATATTGTGTTCTTTCACCTTTACAAAACAAGCAGGTTACTCAGAATAACCAGTATTCTTAAGCCTTTCATACAGCAACATTTATGAGTACCAGAATAAATCCATATGCCCTGGGGATTTTGCAAAAAAAAAAAACAGTGGCTATTCGTACGAGGACCCATACACTGACATGTACTTGCTATGCATACGGGATTAAGTCTTAAGTTTAGTTTGTAGTGTTAACCACTACACAATAGAGTATTTGCTGCTGAAAGAAGTTTGATTTTAGGGCTAGAACTATAACCCTAAATAGAAGCTAACTGTTTCGAGTTAGTGCTTAATCCTAATCAGTATGGTCAGTGCTTAGCCCTAATCACTATCTTTGTTGCTTAACCCTAATCAGTATTGTCAGTACTTAACCCTAATCAATTTAGTCAGAATCCTGTATGAATAGCAAATACAAGTCGATGTATGTAAATAGCCCCTAGGAAAAAAAACCACTGTTGGAAGCTAGACAGGCAATTTTCTAGTAACCACTTAGCCAAAAATAATCTAAACTACTCTAATGTAAAGTAAGCAATAGATAGTGAGCAAAACGAGCATGATTACCTTCTATCATTGCATTACTCCCCCCACCCCTACTCCTCACAAACCCCTCCTTTTTTTACTTTGACACAAACATGCAAATCAGTTAAGGTAGAAAACAGAACTTACCTGTCAAAACAATCAAGAACTTTTCCAAATGTTCCTTCACCTAATAAACTGTTTATCTCATCTGAAAATAACAAAATCAAAAGTTACAAGCCAAGTTCCCGTCTACATGTAGCTAAGAAACTTATAGCTAAAACAGCAAATCAGTTAAGATATGAACTTTTTTACTTGAATACTAATAATGCAATACAACATAATAGGATAATTATTATTTCAAGTCAAATAATGAAAACAGTCAGCTCAGATAGAAGCTAACAAAAATTGCCAGGAATTAATTTATGTCAAGTTCTGATAATAATTATTCCACATTAACTACTTTTAAGGGCATAAGCACCAAACAGAGGTACAATTACAGAAAACACAAGTTATCAAATAAAAAGTGTATTCTAAGATGCCATCGATGACCAAAGGCTTAGTAGAATTTAAACTACTATTTTAGAAAAAGAATAAGTCCTGATTTAATGACGTATTAGTAACATGTATCTACCAGCTACTGTATGAAACAAGAAAAATTAGTACATCTGGAGTTCAGCATGTCGCCATGACGAAATATCAGGTGGCCGTCCTCGTCATCCTTGACGCCTGACAAGCCTCTGCTTGTATCGTCTTCATACGCTGGCTTCTGTACCGGCCGGGTAATTCATCCATATGACATGAGCAATTCATTCATTCATAGACATATTTCAGCGGAGGCACAGGTTCAATTCATTGCATCATAATTTCATGTTGCGTCAGCGTGATCATGTCCACAGTTCCGCCCCGTTTTCAAACATATAGAAAATAGCAAAATATACACACACAGGTAGCACGTGAGTTTTATTCATTAAACATTGTTCGAGCAGTTTTTGATTGACTGTCAAATAGAGTTTAACCCTTTGAGCTGCACTGCAAATATACAATCTTTATATGCGTTTATACTTTGTGCGTTACTTTTATGGGACCATCACTTTATAGAGGAAAAAATTAACAGAATGCAGGAGCAAGATGACAAGTTTATGCAACAACACATGATAAATTTACATGCCAAATGTAGAGTGTAGAACGAGAAAAAACATCTTTGGTCATTTTTAGTTATTTTCTATAAGTCCTCTCTTGAATCTACCGTAAATTGAGTAAAATCTGAAAAAATACTAAGAAATGTCCCGTCTGTGATATTCACTGTTCATGGCTAAAGGATGCATTCAGAAATAACCAGTATTTTCATATTTTTTATTCTTTGTTACATTGAACTCATCATTTTTCTTGTGACTTGTTTTCCTCTTTAGAGTGACGGTCCCCTAAAGGTAACGAAAGCCAAACAAATTGTGCCATTATTACTTTCTTTTTTCCATAGCCTTAACAATAGATCTAAAAAACCAACATGTGAGAAATCCCAGAGTTATAGCAAAACATCTTTGAGTTTGATTGGTTTGGTAGTATATTGATCTCACTCAAATTATCACCAAATTGTAGAGTTTACCAAGTAGTAATGGAAGCATAATCTTTATGTAAATTCATGTAGCAAATGAAAAAATGGTGTTAGAAAGCCACAACTGCTAAATTGTAATTCCTTAGGGGCTGTAGTATATAAATACTAGCAGACAGTTGTTTCAATTAATTTACTTTGGTGTATGATTTATTCTGATAACCTCTTTCACTGACCAGAATTTGTATCAAAAAGGAACAATATTATTATAATCACATTGGGGCTTAGAGCGTTGACCCTTTAAGTTCCAATATCCACATACAAATTCTCCAAACTGGTCTCCATACATTTCCTTAAAGAATGAGTTAAGAGAATTTGATAAAAGATCAAGGTATTTTCTCTTTGGTGATCATTTTATTGATTCTCATAACCTAATCTCTTAACAATGGATTGGATTGTATGGATTGTTAGGAGAATATTGATGTTGGTCACCATTAGAACTTAAAGGGTTAAAACTGGATAGGGATTAATGAAAAGTGTTAACTGCAAAAGCTGTAAAACTGTCTGCAAATTGACGTTTGAAATTGTTTAATTTGATGCAGGCAGTTGTGGTAACTTACTCTATTTGACAGTCATTGCAAAACTATGCCCATTTCTAACATCTGATTGGTTGACTTCAAAGAATCTACAAAAGTTAGTTTCTTTAAGTTCAATTTCTATTTGTGTGTACATATCCATGCGGAGTTTTAATAATTTGAACCTTGATGGATGCAACCCTTAAGAGGTACACCCCAGTACACAATCTCAATAAACAGAGCAATAATTCTCATACTGTTGCAAATGAAAGCAAAAAATTAAACAGCATAAAGGAAAACCTCTAAACAAATTAATTGACTCTCCTTGATGCTGATAATATTATTACACAGTCCTCGAAACCATCACAGTCTCCGAATTGACTTACAGTTTTTTTAAATGTAAACAGACCTCCCACAATGGCATTCATATAACAGGGGAAAAGACGGATTTTGTTGGCATTCTAGGTGAGATTTCTACACCGAACCCCGCCATAATATTAGTATGTACGTACATGATTAGCTTACTATTTCTCACAGAGAAAGAAACTCCGCGTGGAAAAAAATTCTAAAATGGGGATGAGGGGAAATATGGCCCTTAAGTTTTAATAAATGCAAATCTATAAGTTATTTTTGCTTTATTGACCATTATTTTCTTATCAATATGAGCAACCGAACGTAACGTCCACCACGTGGTGTTCATTTCAAGAGAAACCGACAACGGTGGTGATGGGTCACGTCACGACAACTTTGAAATCCACTGCGATTCGCGATCTCTCTACAAGAAACTCGCACTTTTTTTACATTAATTCGTAAAGTTGGCATTTGACGTTTAGCAACACGTTTAAATCCGAGAAACGTTTTAAGCTCTGTGAAATTCAATTCATCCCCAGAGTGTGTACGAAGTTTACTAGGTATCAAGGTATGAGGGTCCTTGATACCAAATTTATAGCGAAATACCGATTGAATAAAAAGACCGGAAAAGACAACTAATATCGCCTCTTACCGTAGAAACAGCAGTAGGTTCATTGCGATGTTTCTGTCGTCTCAACTTTCGATCACTGCGTCGCGTACTATGACTTCGGTTTCTGGAAGAATGGCGATGACGTCTCCTTCGATCTCGACTACGACTCCTCGAACTGTAATGTTTGACATGGCGACTTTCTGGGGCAGGACTATATTCCCTGTCAACACATCTATGCTTAGAGTAGTAAGTTACCGAATTTTCGTCTCCTGAGCTAAGAGAGCGCTTTCTCCGAGACGTTCTCGGCATTTTTATTCAGTGATTGCAACCTTTTGCGATACGTCTAAAGAAATGGCGCCGAAAGAAGTTAATTAGCATAAAAAACCGGATAAACAGGTTTGGGTATGATGTCATCAATATCACGTGGTTGTTATTCAATTCAAAATGGCGGCTATTAGAGGTGCTTCTTTGAAACAAGTAGCAAAAGTCACCGTTTCGTTTTGTCCTTTTGACCCTATGACAGCAACAGCAAGGTAAAGTTGAAGAGGTTATGAATTATTTTCCGACTAAGAAAAAAACTTGCACTATTTCTTGATAGATGGCCTATTACTTATAGACCCAGTCCAGTCCCCCTGCAACCAGGTTAATATTTTCACATTATTTTTCCCTTTCGAGTGCAGAGGTTGCCTTCTTTCTTTTGGCACATTATCACCACTTATAAAGTAACAGCGCAAGTTCATGAGAAAAATAGACCATTTTGAATAATTTTCAATGAGTAAAAAAAAATAATAGTAACACTACACATTTCAAGTGGTACTTGTAGCCAGTGTGGAGCCCTAATGGGGTAAAATTCCAACAATTAGCGACACGGCCTTGAAACAGTGACATAAGACAGTTGAAATAGCAGCAAAAGACATGAAGGTGGGATGAGACTATTAAAACTCCGACAGTGATGAGGAAAATCTCACTGACAGCATGCAGGATGGCCTTCTTTTCAATGGATCGCATTATACTCACGTAGCCAGCATCTATGCAAATTTATTGGAACAAAAGAAAGCATTTGCATAAGAAAAGAGTTCAACTCGCACACGATTGGTTTGGGACACAACATGGCCACAGTTTCATTGTTTTGGGACACCAATATGGCCACCATGACGTCATGTGAAAACAGTCTATACAAAACATGACTACTTTTGAAATTCAGACCAGGGACATCCCCCTCCCCTTCCCTAACAAGGCCTTATCAATGATATTTTGCTGTAGAACAGTCAACTGTAGTCAAACTAAAATAATACAGACACTGAGGAGACCATAGTGAGTGTCTGTATTAACAGGGTGTCCCTATTAAGTGGGTTGAATTTAGAGAAAATGTAAGGGTTTCTTTCCCCAGGGACACAGCAAACTGTCTGTGATAATGAGGTGTACTAGAAGTGGGTGTCCATAAAGTGGGGTTTTGACTGTAGTGCCAACCGTGCACTCAGGACTAGCTCAGTTTGTAGAATGCTTGACTGCAGAGCAGGATGTCGTAGGTATCATTCGCAGGGCAGGACCAATGCTCAGGATCTTTCAAATAACTGAGAAATGAAGGCACTGTTTTTACCTTGTAAATGGCAAGACCGTTGAATGACTTGGATGACCACATGTGAAGTGACAGTCCCATCTCCAGTAGTAGATGTAAAAATAGTGTCCTCAGTTAGTACTTCTGTGGTAATTACATAATTTGCTAATATTATACATGCTTCTGGTATGAGCATCTCTTGGAAGGTGTAAAGTGCAGGTGTAACTAAAGCATCGCGTAAAATCCTTGCCCTAATCCTTACACCTTCAGTTGCTCCCTCACTGGCACCTGTAAATTAAACCTAGCAGTTTTAGACCCTGTTTACGTGGAGTGGGGGACCCCGGTCTAGTGGGGTAAGTTTCTTTTGTTTTGTGTCCCCCAGAGCGTGAAAACAAAAGAAACTTACCCCACTAGACCGGGGTCCCCCACTCCATGTAAACAGGCCCTTAATCTGTGTTGTGTGGTTCCCTGCATTTTTCAATTTTTTTTTCATTTGCAATTTTTAGGGAATTTCTTAGAAGAGTTTCAAGTAAAGGTATGAGGGACTCCAACGCTAAATGTGAAATTATATCAGATATCAAGAACGATGGATCAGAGCCAGTGGTGCAGGTTGTTTTCAGTAAGTGGGGAACAATAATGTATGCCTTGCAGGAAAAAAAAACCTGGACTCTTGTTTAATAGCAGTTCATGATTTTATTTGTCGTGTTTTACTCCTGTCCTGTCATATTTTCTCTGAGGAAAAACTCATATAGGAATGTACTAAACACTAATAAATTTATACAGCTAGAGAGGTTTTATTTGTTTGGTCTCACTATAGTATTTCATTTACAGCTGACTAAACAATAGCCCAGTTTTTATATGTCAGGAAAATCCCAGACAATGGGGGATTTTACTGTTTCCTGACCATCCCAGATTTTGCCAACTAATGAAAACTCCAAATCCTAGATATCCCTGATCATCTGGGATGGTCAGGGACAAATCTGGAGAATTGGGGAGCATTTCTATTTTCCTGGCATGTCCCAGGTTTCTGCAATGGTCGGCAATCATTTCCAACAAATGAAAACTCAAATTTGTACTGTGGGAGACGTGGCGATGGGTTTCGCTCATTACCAATCCTCTAAATTGCTGGCCTCCAACATTCCCCTTATATCGGGAGAATCTGGAGCAGACCCCTTGTGTTATCCAGTATATCAGCAAAATCTGGAATGGTTGGCAAAAACTAAAATCCCTGATCATCTGGGATTTTCCCAAAATTTTGAAAACCTGACATAAGACAGTTATGTCACATGTCTTCAAAATATTTTTGTTATTTTGAGTATCTGAGAAGTGCCTATAAAAAAAAGCTAGATTTGTTTTATAAGTTAGTACGCTCTGCAGCATCGAGTGGTGCATTTTTCCTCAGATCAGTAGGGTACACCAGCATAACAGTCAGAAATACTGTCAGCTTTCAGATGTCTATCATAACACAGTTATTTCATTTGTTAACAGATGACAAAGACACCCTGACCATGAAAACTAACAGCCTCAAACTTATGGACATGTTAGCAATGTTCAACAGAAGGTGTAGGGAGAAGGAAGTTAAATAGATGACTCATCTGAGCATTTGAGCATCTGAGCATGCATGCACAAGGTAAAGAAACGCTTTGTACAACTTGCCATCTTAGGTCTGGTTCAAATGTCGCATTTCACGTTTCACATTTCATCTTATAGAGGTCTCTGTGAAGAGAGACTTGACTTTATTCACCAAAGGTAACCTATGTCAGGGGCAATCCAGGAGTTCGACTTTTTCAGGGGGTGGGGGGATAAAGTCCATCAGGTTCCAGCTTAGAACTAAGGGCGCTTTACATTTGTCAGAACTGACTCGCCAACCCTTACCGCCATAATGAGAATTTCACTATTAATCAAAACTATCCAGCCAGATCGGTCAAATGCTGTGAAATAGTGTGTAGGAAGGAGATGGATTTTCAGCAAAAACCCTTGGAAAAAGCCGATTTATAGCCAAAATGACTGGTTCAGCTATGATGCGGCCGGCCAGTTCTCAGAAATGGAAAGCGCCCTTGGTTTATTTATAAAAGAAGCTAGGAGTAAGCAAGAGTATGTATTTTTGACCTAACAAAAATAATAATATTATTATAATTGTGTGGATTTAATAATCTACAGGATCATGTGGAAAGCACAAGACAGTGGGAAGAAATTGACAGACTGGAAAAAATCAAGCAGGAAAAGAGAGTGGTACACAGTCATTTGTTATACAGAGATAACATCAGATCTATCCTAGTACACCAGCAAGTTGCCAGTTGGCGTATCATTGGAATGAACTTACAAGAAAAAAATTTGAGCCTGATAAAAATACTGCATATTAAAAGGCAACATATACACACAGAGGCATCTATTTCATGGAATTGGGCCTTCCTTGGGTGATTTTATTCGTTCATCTGTCATGGATAAGTTTTCTTAACCACAAGGAATCTACAACTAAAAGATACTAAAATTACTTGTTTTTTTTTATTTCTTCTCCCTGTCTATCTATAATATTTCCGATGTTACAGTTTTCTTGTCAAAGTAAGCTCTCTCTTGAATTTCCTAGTGCTGTCATAAAATGAGGCAAAAGAGTACATGATGAATGACCTGTTATGAAATAGAACGTTAAATACAGAAAACAATTTTTTGTTTTTTCTAATGCCATTAATGTTTTGTATATACAATATTTAAGAATTGTGCAGTTTCTTTGTCTGCTTGAAGTGTTTAAAAGACAAATAAAATATACAAAATTAATTATTTTAAAATCAATCGTTGGTCTTCCTTTCACACGACATTTGCCTCTCAAAACCTGTAAGAGATTTAAAACAGAAGTCAACATAATAAGGAAAAAGAATATAATATGAGGATGAAAAGTGCTAACTTAATTTCACTGGACATATCTGTTTTGGCAGTTCTGTACTCATTACTGTGAAACTCAGGAAACTGTTAATGCCAGCAATCTTTCTTGAATTTTTTTGTACTGTAAGTTACTGCTAATTTGTGGCTTGCCTGCAAGATCTTTATCATGATTGGGCACAATACTATAAAAATCCCTGAGATATTCCAGGTGTTCACAGTCTTTACAGTCAAACCAGGTCAAGCGTTCCCGTCGCTAACAAACTAATGAATTCATTAATGGAAAAATGATTTCGTTTGTTGATTCAATAATCCATTCATAAAATGAATAATCCAACGGTCAAATTGTACCTCGATTCAATAATCAAATGTTGATTTGGTTTATGAACAAAATCTACCTGTTCTTTATTCTTGTCTGTTGTGTTCAATCGTATTTGCTTCCCTTTTCCTGCCGTTTACGATTGCGTTTTTCATTGCCTTTAATCAAAATAACAGCTAGATAGACAGACCGCAAACGCAAAGAAACGGACAAAGGCCGAGGATCGAAATCCACCAATCACCGCACATACACCGACCTCAGTTTGACCGTCGTGTTTTCTAAGAGGTCAGGCCTAGGTCTGTTGCACTGATTATTGGCAGCAAACTGGCGTACATGTAACAGTTTGTTTGGGTTTGAACTTCAGAACTCGCCAGCACTCGACTCTCAGAAAAAAAAGAGGAAAAAACAAAATTCTGAGGTCAACTTGTGGAAAGTGTAATATTTCAAAAAACAGTAATCGAATCAACATTCGATTATGGAATCGACGCTAAATATGACTATTGGATTGTTCATTTTATGAATGGATTATTGAATCAACAAACGAAATCATTTTTCCGTGAATGAATTCATTAGTTCGTTAGCGACGGGAACGCTTGACCTGGTTTGACTGTAAATTTTGACAGTAATAAAGCACCTATCACAGTATGTTTTAGCAAAGTTAATCCTGCACTTGAAATTGGCATCTGCCAGTTCACTGTAACCATCACTCCCCTTAATATACACTGGATTTATCTTGTCATCTCCTACAACCCTCTTATAATGTTCTGTTATCTATTTTGTGATTACCTTCTCTGGTATTCTGTCTTGATCCCATCTGACTGGCTCTTCCACAGATTAGGATCAGTGTCTCCCTGGGGCACATTTGCTAGCAGCTCCTCTGTGGTTGTTGGTGGTCTGCCATGCTTTTCTCTGATAGAGTTGATGGTGGTGATTGGATATATCTGAGCATGTGATTCCAAATATTTTAACACATACTCATCGGCATCTGTTATTCTAAAGCGATGTTTGAAGATCTGTATGAGGGCACCAATTTGGAAGTCTGCCGGGGTGTAGAATTCAGGATTATCAACAGATGATCCTGGTTTAGTGGCGCGTGTGCGCTCAAGGAATTTCCCACCAATGATTCCGGCATTTCTCACCGGGGGCTCATAGATTGTAAGCATGTCATCTGCCAGGCGGTAATAGATGATGAAGCGTCTATTTTTGTCTTCTGGTCTGAAACTTTCCTGAATAAAGAAAAGAAGCAACTCACATAAGCTCCTTTAAAAGTAACAATATTATTAATACTAAACTAGTTCGAATAATTTTTGACAGCAGGTAACTTGCCATTAGACTCTTAAGTTTTCAAGAACATACTGGAACTTGTAGAGGGATGGATAATGTATATTCAAACCACAGAATCATCTAAGACCAGGATGTTAAAAAACCTCAAGTATAAAGAATATTACAATTTAAAAATTTAAGGTGGCTGAACACAGTTTTGGCAGTTTCTGAGTATAGGTCATTTGTCAAAATGTGGCAAGAGAAAGGTTGCAGCTCACAAGCTGAAACTTGGCAAGTGAAAAATTTACTGATGAAAGAGTTTGACTGACAGGTAAAATTTGATGTTTTCGTAGTTTCCATGGCAACGTGAACGATTAAATACAACCTTAAAATTTCACCGTTACTCAGTTTACATAAAATTCGCTCATTACATTTTCCCATAAACTCGCACACAGCTTACTATAATTAATCATTTCCATTTGAAACTTATTTGACCAAATTTTAACAGAGGGGTTTTTAGATAATCAATAATATAATTCTACCGTAATTATTAAATGTGTTACAAAATTCGTCTGTTCAACTTCCATTTTAAAGTTCTCATCATTTAAAATACGATAAAAGTAAAAATTTTGCCAAATATCACAAAATTTTATAGAGTAGATTTTGAGAAATCGTCGTCTGTGTACCATTGCTATTTTCGCCGCCATGTTTGTTTGTCTAATTTAAAACACGCGCTACCACTGACCACCCGCAAAACTGTGTTCAGCCACCTTAAACAAATGATTTTTATTGGTAGTCGTTAAAGGCAAGTTGTTCCCAATACAAGTACTGGTATTTTGTATTTCACTGTAACTTACAAACTGTGACACAGTAAGATATCCACAAACGATTTGGATGATTGTAACTTACCATGGTCGCAGCATATCGCAGTACTTTGTGATCATTTTCCAGCATTTTGATGAAGTCTTTCTTTGGAGGCTGAGGCACAAGAGACAGGCAGGATTGAAGGCTGTCCTCAAGAGAGCCAAAGCCATTGTATGGTGGAACATCCTAACAAAATAAACCATCAGTAATTGTTAAACACTATAGTACTATTGTCGCGAAAGAACTTGACAAACAGTTTTTCACCCTTAATACGTTTGATTGTTTTGTGCATGAAATGTTACCAATTAGAGAACTAGCATCATCTCTTAAAGTCCAGTCGGACTCAATTTGAGCCAAACTAATTGGCATGTGTAACATTCCAAATTTATCATGTAAATCTTTGGCAAAAATTTTTTTAGGGTTAATTTTTTCTTGCTTAATATTACTAAACCTCTGCTTTCAGCTTAAAAATCAAACGAATTAAAACTGTTAATAAACTTTTCTACTGCCAGTGAGCAGTTTAATAATAAATATAATTACTGACAGGTTTTTGACGTACAAAAAAAGATAATTTAAAATACCTTATTCAACGGTTCTCTTGGTTCTCCTTTCACATCAACAGGATTAGTGTCAGTTATTCCAAAGTTGACCCTATAATAGTTCTTTGTGAATTCATCACAGTCATGAAGAAGGAATCTTCTTCCCAGAATAAAGAGAGTCTTTCCAACCATGAAGTCTCGAGGAGTGAACCAGTCCTTGATTTCATGATCAGATAATTCCAGAACACAGGATGGAAAAGATGCTGAAATATAAGGCAGAAAAATGGGTTATTTACAGCAAAACAATTACTTTTCTTTATTTTGGCTACAAAAGAAGTATCTAGGTTTAGATTTAGGACACGTGCATTTATTGTGTAAACTACACTGACATGGTATTCAAGACATCCCATAAGGGTCAAAGATGTTAAAGTGTTGTGAGATGGGGCCTATGTTATAAATTTCACTTTTCTCTAGATCTATTAGAGAAGACCAAAGTGCCTGATGGCAGGTGCAGATGTGAAATGTCAGCAGCACTTTCTCCTCAGTTACTCTTAATTAAACCTCCAAGGGCCAGTTACTTTATTAAATGGAGTTTAGCCAGTGTTTAACAAAACCACATTCTAAGCCATTTTCAGTTTGCCGAAAGCTTTTATGTAAACACCATTTATCAGCAACAGTTTCATGAAAGCATAGACTAGAAAAGCATTTACCTTCTTAAGATAACTCATTATGAAGTGAGATCTGAAGGTCCAAAGATTTGCTATACCGTGGTCAACCTGTCTTTGTTTAAATAACTGACCCTAAGACTAAGTGTCTGTCTGGCTTGGATTCAAACTCAGGAAAACAGATGTATGTAGCTCTCTGAGCTACAGTTACAGACTATGTACTTACATTCTACATTAGTTCTGTCTTTAGGTAGTCTCTGTCGGCACACCAGAACAGGAAAGGGATCTCTTCCATCATTAGCTGTGTGTACCTCTCTAATTTCCACAGTATCGTTCACCAGATAGTAATGGATAATCTGGAACAAAATAAATAAATGTGGTGAATACAGAAGAAACATGCACTATCAATGCTGAAAATTGTTTTTCTGTCTTTCAAAGGATGCATCAATGTTTTCGCTTAAATGCCCAGTTCAAACGTCAAACTTTTCATGTACTGACCCTAATCCCTTCAATTAAGTACATGAAAATATCCTTCAATATTTGAACCAATTAAGTCAGAACCAAGAATTAAGATCGAGTGGCCTATATGGCAATTTTGACTGTGGAGCAACTTCGTTTATGTGCCAAACTTAATGCATAAATTACTAAAATTTATTTTCATTTGTATAAAGCATTGTAGACCATTGAACATCATGAAAATGAATTGACTAATTAAGTTTGACATTTGAATCAACATCGAACTTGTATCATTTGGGGCCAACCTAATTAATCAGGTATTAAGTTCAATTCATGAAAAGATTGACATTTGAACCGGGCCTAAATTGTTTTTATATCATTACTGAAATTTAGTCCAAGGCAAAACCAGCAGCTGAACTAGTTACATGTAGTGTAAAGTCACAAATGAGAACCAGGCTGAAGAATTGCTTGTACTCACACAGGGTCGCATTTCTCCAAACATACTGTCCCTGTCATCCCACACACAGTAAAATCTTAAAACCTTCCTGTCCAACTCCAGAAACTGTTTCAGTTTGTCAAAGGATGAAGGTGTTTTGTACGTGCGGAGAGGCTGTTTGCGGGATTCAGTGTAAGGGTCTTTCTCTGGCATCACTGGCTGGTTAAGCTCTATCCCCTCACTGGCCAAATATTCCTAAAGAAAAAACTTAGGAAAGTCATCAAGATCGCCTAAGTACCAATACTAAAAGCTTACAGTGTACATGTATACACAAACAAACCTCTCCACAATGGCTACCTTGGGGACAGAAGAAAGTGGCCGTAGTGCAACATGTTTATTGTTCTCAGTTCATGCTTACTATATCCCATAATACATGTAGGAATTAATCATTATTTTAATGTACAGAGATAAAAAAAATAATAAAAAAAAGCTTGAATAATATGTTTTGAATAAAAAATGTTAACATCTGACAAAATGAGCAGGGTTCGTAACATTCGCTATAAGTATTGTAGACAATTTATGCTTACTGCAGTAGTATTATAAATGGAACACAATCAAAGTACGATTGCCGTGATTGATCATTAACGTGCCATATGGATCAAATTTCGTGACCATTCTTGACTTTTTCATGAGTCAGCTGAAAAAACTAGCCGTTGTCGAGAGGTTATTTTGGCAGTTGGAGACACTCCTTAGTGGCTGTTGTAGAGAGGTTTAAACAAGAGTGACCACTGTATGGTCACTGTCCGGCGGGACAAAAAAGTAGCCCTTGTAGAGAGGTGGCAGCGTGCAAAGAAAGTAGTGTCCAGATACCCTGGGGCTATAGTGGATTTTGCTATTGCGCCAGTGAATTCTGTTTTTAAATTGCCCAACAGGCAACTCATCTTTTTTGAGGAATTCAATCAACAGAAGAACTGTGAAATCAATTTTGCTAGTCAAAAAGTTTTTGGGGCTATTTAATTGAAATGACATCTGGGCTAGTAAATGGCAGCTTCAGCTTGCCCAAATGGCAAGCTGTAAAAATGATTTTGTTTGCAGCCTGGGTGGCCATTAGTGGTCAGGTTCAACTGTACATTTTAAAATATATAGGAAGGATGTCATGCTAAGCTGCTTCAAGCCCAAACTTTTCCTTCCTTTAAAGTTATTAGATTGTTGGCGAATGGTACCTCAGAAATTAAACTTAATGGCTCGTGGAAAAGAGGGGTCTTCTTGGTTGCTGCTACGAAGTTACACTGGTAAAGTTGAAGACCCTTCGTAAATCATTGCTGGTTACTTCTTGGCTCAAACAGGGTTGTAAAAATATACATAAGTGATCAAGGTCTGGTATACAAAAGAGATTAAATTTTGGAGTTCAAGCAGCAAGTTTTCACCCGGTAATTTACGGAAAACCCCCCTATAGTACATGGTTGATATATCGGAGTTCAAACAACTAGGTAGATCATGTTACCTTTGTCCAAGCATCACAGTCATAAAGATGAAACACTTTCCCATAAAAAGTCACATTGATCCCAAGGTTTAAGTCTTTCCAGTGCCAGTATTCACCAAGGTCATTCTTTGGTAAACGCTGACGCTTAATAAGTTTTCCTTGAGGAATTCCACTAAAACACAGAGAGAAAAAAGCATTTGTTTACTATGTATCACAAATCGCCATGCTAGACTGAGCTTATAATTCTCCTGTAGGCAATAGCAATTGTTTTCCTGAGGCTATACATAGAAATAATAAGGCTCTGAAGTTGTTCATCAGGGGCAATGAACTGCATGTAATGACACTGTAAAATTGCCTATGCAACAGGCAGTCTGTCTGCAAAACAGTGCCTACGTAAATCCTTGTTCTGTGCCGCCACCTGTATACCAGAATTGAGTATGCGCCATGATTAGTCTGCTAAAAAAGTCATTGTCAGTTGCCATTCAAGTTTTTTTTAGAAGTTGAAGTTCTGGTAATTCTTTAAGTCTGCTGAGGCCCAGGGTTGGGTTGCAAAAAACATCTAAGATTAAGGAATTTTTAACTATTATTTCAAAACAATAGGTTGTTCCAGAACAAAAGTTAAGAGCCCTCAATTTATCTTAAGAAGGTTGTATGCAACCTAGCCCTGAACATGAATTTCGGGTTCCTTCCTGGCAGACATTACTATTGTCTGCAATGCAGGCTATAAAATTGTTGTTCAGGCATAGTTTGTTGAGATCTCAAAAGGTCAGCATTGCTATGGAACTAAATGTAACAGTTTAGTTTAGCAGTCTTAGATTGGCATGTTGGGTAGCTGCAACTTTTGGGTCTGTGGAAGCATTACTTGTTTTTCAGTGTATTTTTAACTGGAATGTGAAATTTTCCCTAAAATGTTCACTTTGAGTAAGGGTCATTTTCATTACCTGTTATTAACTACAGGTTCCACAACTGCAATAGAATCATCCTCCAGGTAATAATACACTTTAACTGGACGAACTCTGTAATATTCATTGGAAGACTCGTGCACAGTTTGCTTGAAATATCCAAAGAAAAGCAAAACTTTCTTATCAAATCCTACATGGGCAGGGACAAAATCCTCTGGAGGTGCTTGAACTTTTTGTCCATAAGTCAGTGAAGGCTTTAAATTTGCAAGTTCGTCGAGCTCTTCCTGTGTCAAGTTGTTCACAGGTATTGGATCTCCGCCGATCCCTATAACAGGGGCTGTTGGCAAGGAATATCCGTTCTTCCATCCAAGTGTTTGAGGTCGATGAAATTTGGTTTTCTGAAAGAATTAAGAGGATCTAACAGTATGAAAACAATTGTGATAAAAGATACGGAGAGCTTACAGAATTAGTCGAAGCTGCTTTAAAAGAAAGAGGACCTCGTAAACCCCAACAATTTAGAAACATTAATAAATACAACGCAAAAGAAATAAGAAAGTAATATTCCCAGCCTATGCATACATGTGGATGTACAGTAATTTTTCCATAAGAACTTCAACACTCATAACAACCAAATATTTCAGAAAATATGCATACCGTAGGATCTGTAAACGAATTTCCTGGGAGAAATGGAAGAGAGGTCATCTTTTCAAGTTAAAATGTTTGTGTAGTTTCCACCGATCAATTCGTAAAGACCTTTTCACTGTCGTTCAAAATTTCTCACTAACAAACATGGCCGCTGTCGTTGCTATTTAGCAACCAGCGTTGCTATGGTTTCTGTTTGAAGACACCTTCCACTCCCGCAACGACTCATGGGATTTAAAGGTAGAACCCAGTGTCGCTCCCACAGGGCACCCACACAAATACTGTAACCCGAATTGAAACGGTTTTTTTTGTTGTTATTTTGATATTAATTAAAATAATTTATCGCATCATGTTGAGATAATATGAACCTTTTCGATATTCTCATACATTTTCTCCAAATTCAAACATTACAATGGTCACACAATTGTGTGGTTTTCCTGTGTTCTTTCCATCAGGCCGCGCTGGCCGTAGTGAAAACGTGGAGGAGCCCATTACTTGAGGAAGCAATACTCTGGTCCAAGAAGTTTTTCTTGAAATTTTTCGTAGAAAGAGCGAGATTTCGCGGCTCGCTCTCTCTTTCGCGACTGGGATCAGGGTAGCTCTGTCTTCGTTGCTTGGTATTTTCAAAGACTGGCCATAATTATAGGTTGAATTTCCACCGTTGATAGCATGGTTGATAGAGCCCAAGCCCGCTCTAGTTTAGTTTACATACAAATCCGAATCTCAATGTCTGTAAAATACAAAACAGGCTTTTGTTTTATAGTTTTGCTTTATTTATTTGAGGTGGTCCAGAATATTTTCTGGTGTCCTGAAGTCCGCCCCATCGGTACGTATGGGCAGGGAATTAAAACTTAACACTCAGAGAACACCATCTGATATCGATTCCTTTTGACCAAAAGTTACTGAATGAAAGCGAAGTTTGTTTTATTCATTTCACACTAGGGTGATTGTTTGCACCCTTCCCCTTGCAATTGTGCTCGTAAACTAGCATAAGTATTAGCAGTATATGTATATTCCTGAAATTATGCCAATAATTACGCTAGTTTTTGTACATTTTGTTTATTTTGACAGTAAAAGCAGAAACTATGCTTATAATTTTCACTTCAGTTGGTAAAAACGCCTCAATAATTATGCAACAAACAAGTGTATGACACTGACATCTTTCCAATTGGCATCTAGAACGTTTACGAGTGCATGATTTATTGTAAATTCAATTCCCTGGCCATCACTGTCTTGCAAAGTATTTGCAGTGATAGATAAATGTAGATAGGGTAAACCACTGGAACAAAAAAACCGCGTGACAATTTTGAAATCTCAACTGGAACGCTTTTGTTCATGCCCCCAACCATAAAAACGCCTGTAAAATTTCGCGACTTTGAGGAACTGTATCTTCGCTCGCTTTAGACATATTGCTTTCACGTATCAGTTGTAACTGACGACCATTCCCGGTTTAAAATGTAACAAATTCAAATCTAACTTGAAACCAATTTTTTTTCTTTTTCGAGACCCGTAGGTTAAGTTCCTAGACTGAACAAAAAGGATTTTTTTAAATTATCATTTTACAAAAAAACCTCGGGCGATGGGAGACCAAACGACTCAGCTTTTTGGGCCTAAGTTCCTATGTACTAATTAAAAGAATGTCTGAGAATTATGCAAAGGGCGCTGAAAGAGACGATATGTATCGTTAAAGTAATTACTTCCGTTCAGAATTGAAGGCAATGATACTTGTCTAGAATTAGTCAAGAGAATTTCGCAAAAGATCAAAGCATTTCCCGTTTGATGATCGCCTAGAAGATTGAAGGGTGCGGCCCCCACTACCCAACTAACTCGTCCCCTCGCCTAACTCCACAAGACGCGCAATATGGATCATCAAACAAAAAAGTACACTGCGAGTCTGCGACAATTAGGGGTTTTCACATGACGTTACCAAAATTCAAACTAAGAAACTATCGATTCTTCTGAGTTTTACTTTCATGAGGTATTACAGCACCTAAAAACCTTTATTTACACAAATTTTTGGTTCCAAAGGGTTTTTCGCTTTGCGATAGAGGACGCTTCCAGGAATTTCCAGGCTTTTGTGTGACGTGGCATTTAGCTGGCGGCAGGCAAAGCTCTTATGGGGGTTAATAATAATAATAATAATAATAATAATAATAATAATAATAATATTGCTCATTTTCTATAAAAATAATCAAATGCGCATTACAAACATTACAATAAAAACAAAAATAAGAACCTGTTTACAGTCACTATGGAATCAAAGACGAAAACTACACTATTTACAATTGGTTATTAGAAAAGTAATTTGCAGAAAAACTATATAAAAATCTAAATATAAACTAATTGTACTAACAAGGGAAAATACAATTCCAAATATCTAGCATATGAATTATCGCACAGACCTGATTCTTGGCGAGGCCTTTTGTATACTTGTCTTCTTTTATTTCCCAGATTCAGGACTTTCTGCATTGATTGGTTTGCATATTTATTTTTGATAGCGCCGCCAATGACAGTGACAGTGAAAACACAAAATAGCCTGCAAATACAGCCTTCTCTCCTTGCTCTACACCGCTAGGACTTTAAAACAGACCAGGGCGTAAGAAGCTAGCTACAACCAGTTGCAAAAGTACTTGAGACACTGTACCGCATTTTGGCTTAAATGGCCTGTCCATGATCTTGTGCTCGTGACCCCCCCTCCACCCCTTTTCAAAGTTGCTAGCAATACAAGACCATGCTCAAAACTTGGAGGAACAACTTTGAATGGGGGGGAGGAGGGGGGTCACTATTTTATCTCACAGACCTGTGACTAGCAGCGATTTGAAGCAAGACAGGTTGTTTTTTCGTGAGAGTGTCTCAACATTTTTGCAACTGGTTGTAGCTTCTTACGCCCTGAAACAGACCCACAAAAAGACACATGCATAAAGACCACACAATTTAATATAAAATTGAGTAATATAAAAGGAATGACACATTTTATAATGACATTAATTCGTAGGTTTAAAAAAGTATTTTCTAGTCTGGAAATTTGGGCCCAAGCTTTGTCCACTGTCCGTACAGGTAATCAAATGAACCAATCAGATCTGGAAACATATACGTGTGGCCACCGTCAAGCGCATGCGCGAGAGCAATAGCTTTCAATTCAATTCTAATTGGTTGGGAAACTGGCGCGATACTTTTTTGGCGAATCACATTACGTAAGAAACCCATGGCAATCACAAAATCCCTTTCAACCCACCGTAAACTTGTATTAGATGACTAAAGATAATAAAAACCTCGTTAAAATTCTTCACTGCTCATTTAATAAACTGGAAATTCCTCATAAAAGTTGCTGGAAAGATATAACTGATTCTTAAACTGCGCAAAAACGGTCATTATTCGATCTACCTTAATGTAGAAAAAATAACTATGCCTTAACTCTCACACACAGGTGGCCGACGAGCAAGATCTCCATTTCTAGAGGCGAGCAAAGCGAGTCGCGCGAGAGCCCTACGCGTGCTGCTCGCACTTGACTTCTCACGACGTCATATTCAAGATGTCTGCATTTAACCACTTCAATGAATATACCTCATGTAATTGTGTGATACTTATAAAAACAGTTGAATAGCATTTGTTAATCAATGATGTACCCAGATAAAAATGTTACATTTTGTCGACAAGAGATCTGGGTACCTAGCATGCGTAGCAGGCGCTTGGAAGTAGGGGCGCAAAAAAGAACTAGCGCGAGAGGGAGACACGCGTGTCTCCCTCCCTTTCGCGCGCCCGTTCTTTCTTGGGCCTGCTATGCAGGCTACTGGGTACCAGATTAAAAAACAATAAGTAAACAAAACTGTCAGCTTACGTTCAAGTTGAAGGTTCTCTGCAGAAAAATAATCTTCAAGAACTCTTTTACTGATAATGTTTGATAAAACACGCACACCGCGAACTGGTTATTTTGATCAAAATAAATAGATCCAGACATGTTCAACAGATAACTGACAAAGACACCGTAAAATTCCGCTTAAAAGCCCTCCCTCCCGCCACTTATACGCCCCTCCGGGTATAGACCCATCTACCTGTAAACAAAATAACACACCCGATTAAGAGCCCCACGAATTAAAGCCGCCTCCGAATCTATTGAAAAGAATATGACTCATCATGATAGTTTGAAAAAACTGCTAGAGCTTGTTACGAAGCGCCATTTATATTCGGGTTGTAAGCCCTCCGAAGATAACCTGTGATCAGGCGTCCTTCCTATGCTCTTTGTAATGGTAGGGCGTTGGCCGACTTTTTCTCTCCCCCCCAAAAATTACGCCCGATCGCAGGTTACTCCTAAGATTCCTTCAAAAACTGGATAAGTCCAAGGCTTATAGGCAGCAGTTTGCGGTATTTTTACTTGTAGAAAACTATTATGGTATTAATACTATTGCTTGTTTATTCTAAATTTTAGATTTATCAATATATTGATGATTTTAATGATTTCTTATTTAATCAGTAGGTTGAGATGTAATGGTTATCTCCTGAACTTCTGGTTCATTGTTCTTGTTCATCTCAGATTCATCAAGGCTGTTAGATCTCTGTCCTATCACTCTCTCCTATGCAATAAAATACCAAAGGTTACAGTAAATGTAAAGTTCCGCAAGTTTAAGCTGACCTCGTCTGCAAGGCCGAAGTCTCAAGCTATTGGGAGGACATGATAGCAGCGTACAGAGGCCCAGACCGGAAACTTAACAGGGGACTGCAAGGTTGTGAATTGTAATGGGGATCTTAAGAAGGCTCTGGGGCAACAACTTCGATGCCATGTTGTGTATTTTAAGGGAGGTTTTGACAAGCCCAGGGAACCTTAACAGTGGATTGCAAGCATTTGAATTTTAATGAAGTCTTGAGAGTTGTTTAAACAAGTCAAGAGGACCTTAACAGTGGACTGCAAGGTTATGTATTTCAATGCCGGCCTTTACAAGGCCCTGGGGACCTAAACCATATACTTCCACGTTGCCCATTTTTGAAGAGATCTTAGACAGGTCCAAGGGATCTTAACAGGGTACTGCTACATGGTGTATTTTCAAGGTCTAAGACAGGCCCAGGGAACCTTGACAGTGGATTGCAAGGTTGTCAGTTTAAATGAGGTCTTGAGAAGGCTTTGGGGTACTTAACAAGGTATATCTTTTAGGGGAACTTAGACGAGCCATTTCATGTTGTGCATTTTTCAGGGGTCCTTTGACAGGCCCTGGGGACCTTAACGGTTGACTGCAAGGTTATGAACTTCAATGCCGGCCTTAAGAAAGCCTTGGGGACTTAAACAAGATACTTCTTAGACAGGCCCAGGGAACCTTAGAACACCACGCATGACTCATGCTTAGGCCCCGACGGATATGATGACTATACTGTACTGGGGATAAAAATAACCCTGCGGGTCACTTTACTGCCTTCTTGCCCTCCTAATGTTGATGCACAAGGTTTTGTGACTTAACTGCAATAAAAAACATTGGGAGGAAGAGGAGACGAGCGAGAAGAAACAGCATTCGGTGGGACTGTCCATACTATTTTTGTCTGATACCATAAACTACTAAGGGTCAATAGAAAGGTGGGCACACTTAAGCAAAATATCGCATACTACTACATTGGGCACATTGACTAGTCCATAACCCAAAGCTGTCCAATCTTTACACCCACAAATCCTCAGAGACTGCAGCTTAGCACAAGATGCTATTTCTTTACTTTGAAAATCCAAGTAGCACTTGTGTCATGGCAAATAACATCAAGTAAGGTGATTGACTGAGGCTGAATCAGTCAATTTAGAAATCCTTAGTATTAATTACAAATACTTGATTCATTCTAATCTTATTGTAGTCAAATTCACACAGTTTTCAAGTCTGAAAAAAGTATTCATTACTTTAAAAAGACTAGTTTAACAACACACAGTTGTGTTAACATTTAGTTGACTAGTGCTGGTATGTCAATATACAGCCTGATGGTTAAATAAGGCCTTCTATTGCCTTGCCAAAATATTGCTCTTCTATTTTATCAATTATAAAGTCATCAAAGGAAGGCCATTCAGTTCAAGACTTATTTGAAGAGGAAAAAGAAAGAAAGCGAAGCTGGCACTGGACGACCTTTATAGGAGTATGTACTGCACTACCATGTGACACTAAATTTTTATGGCTTCTAATTTTTTTGTAATTTACTTTCTTTACAAAACGCCAGTGATAACTCGGGGAAAATGCAACACATGATATCATGGTTATTACAAAAACTGTCACACTAGGGCATTCATCTCAGAAGATGATTGTTATTAAGTGACAGTCACACTGATGCAATGACTTCCCAAAAACGGCAAAAATTAATCCCCAGCAAGAAAAAACAGTCTACAACGTACAATTGCAAAAATCAATGATGCAGAAAAATAAACTCCCCCCAAAAATTTAAGACACATGGTAGGCAGACCAAGAAAGGGGGGTATTACATGTACATCACCATGAGAGCTAGCTTTACTACACTACCTGCAAGTATTCTAAAAGAAAATTGGGTCTACATCCCTGTGGTGGTGTATTGGCAGCCACTGTCTAGTGTGCCCATACATGTATGTGTGGATGGGTAAGAGATGGGGGGGGTAAGAGAGTGTAGTGGCAAGCACTGTCTGGTGTGTGGGTCAGGGTGTGATTTACTGCTTTATTACCAGCAGTCACTTTGTCTTCCTACCACTCTCAATAACATTAATGTCTCATTCCTTAAGTTCCTTACACCTGGAAGAGGTTTAATGGAAAAGTAAAACAGGAACAAAGCCACCATGTCAACATCTCTTTTGGCAAAAATGAAAGTTTCCCCCCTTGATCTGCATATCATTGAAAAGGCACCAGTATACTCTGACAAAAAAATAAAGCTATGCTAAGGGAAAATCTTAAATAGAAAGATGTGCACACCCCAACCCCACTTGTTTATCTTGATTGCCTTTTGATTCTAAGTCAAAAATGGGATCTGACACTTTTGTAAAAAAAAAAACTGCAACTAGCAGCAGCAATTCTGATTCTGATCATTTTTTAATGGTACAGGGTTCATACAAAAAATTACAACCATTTCTAAGGACTTTTGAAGGACATTTCAAGGACCACATTCGATTTTCAAGGACTTTTCAAAACTGTGCGAACCCTGGTGGTCTCTTCTTCGATGAAGCACAAGCTAATCTCCCAAGAAATTAATGAAAATATTACGAAAATCTCCTATCATACACATAATTATTAAATATTGCTATATACTTAAACAATCTATAATAATGGTTGGAGAATTGAGACGTTAGATTAGTTAGGTAAGGGATAAAAGTTAATATCATTTCCATAAAAGTATTTCTATCAAAGTACATGAATCAACAACCTTTGTGAAAAGATAGTTGGAAGGTTAAATCTACCACTTGCATGACAAAAAGTATCATTCTCAATTTTATCAGACAGAAATTTAATTGTTATCATTTTATCTTATTAAGTAGATAAGCTACTTCAAAAGGCATATGTAAAATGGAAATTAGAAAAAACATTTTTGTGGACCAGTTATTTACAAAATCCACTCGGTGATCCAGAGCACTGACTAATCTCTTATTGAGATAACCATCCCAAGAAAGGCACATTACACCAGCAATTATTTACTACCAGTAATCAATCTTCAGGATAGACTGTTGTCATTATCAGGTGAAGCTGGCGTTGCTAGTTTTCCCTTGTTTGAGCTTCCAAGCATCTTAAACTACAGTGAGAGAGCAATATTAGAATATTGGCTGTTAGATGATGAGTAAGGTTTTTAATGGCAGTTTAAATCCTAGGGAACTAACGAATTTTCTCTTGCCTCTTAATACTATCTTAACATGAGGTTTTAAAAGAATATAAATTTTATATTGAGTTGTATTATGCATATCGCGTTTAAAAGAGAATGAAATGAACCTTTTGCTGAAGCAGTTTTGAAGTTCTGTGATAAGTACGGATTTTATAGAGTCTTTTAAAGTTGAATTAGTAAGGACCACACTAACGGCTACGTGAATTAGGGCCCTCATGCCATTAACTCTTGATTAAATGTTAAATTCTCTCTTTGTTTCACAAGTAAATGTAAAGCAGTTTGGAAGGAGAAACATGCCGTTTATCAGAAGTATTTTGACGTTCTTCCTAGCCACTCCTTTTAAAAGATATGCAGAACTTTGACAACCTCACTAAAAAAAAATTGGTCCCTTAACGGAAAATAGTAATCAAGGCAATGGCAACATATTAAGAGTTTGCAACATCATAAATCTTATATTCAATTGTTAAAACCATATACAAATCAACATTCAGTGGTGAAAAGGCTGTTTCATAGGCTAAGCTGCTTAGGCACCTTTTTTTACATTTTTACTACACTGCATTATAGCACGTTAACCAGAAATGGCTCAAGCTTAGAAAGGTGACTAAATCATTTGTATTATTAATTTCCTCTTTATGCAGCAAAGTTGACAGTCTCCACCTGACAATGACACATCTTACAGGTAACCCTTTAAGCCCCAGTGTCCACATACAAATACTCCACACTCATTTCCATACATTTCCTTAAGGAACTAGTTGAGAGAATTTGTTTAAAGACCAAAGCATTTTCACTCAGGTCATCACTTGATTAGTTCTCATAACCTTTTCTGTTCACTATGTGTTAACATTGCAGTGTTCTCCCTAAATTTTAGTTGAGCAGTCAAGGGACCATTCATAGCTGCTAGGGCAAAAAAATACGCACTAGAGGTGCACTTTCCTGGGGGCAGGGGGTAGTGGAGTGTGAGACATGGCCCTACCCTTGTTGGAAATTTAAGAGCCAAGTTCTCTGAAACGTCATTCCCTCATTTTGAGACCTATTTTATGCAAATCGGTTGTTGTAACCTTTACAAAGCAATTTAATGATTGATACCAATAATTTTACTCTGTCTTCAATGTTCTCTTTCCAAAATGCGTGGGCCATAAAAAGAAAAGCTGTGTATACTTTAGTACTTTTCCATATATCCATTCATTTCCTTGTGGAATGCGAGTATCAGATCGGATCACAACTTGTGTATTTCTTAAAGTAGTTCTTTAATTTTGGTAAACCTTTAGGCTGTTGCAGGCGGTAAGAAGTGTTGCTTCAGGCAGTAAATTTACCAGTTACTGCCTGATAAGAAGAACAATGACAATGCTAGATGTTGGCCACACTTGGGACTTAAGCGGGTTAAAATAATAACAATCCACTTCTGCTTGTGCCTTTTCTCTGTCTGGTTGCAATGGAAAAAGCTGTCTTCTGTCACAGAATATTATAATCCTTATATACAGCCACACCCTGCTAAGATGGTCACTTACTTCTACCCGCTACTTCTACAACCTTTATAATACAGCCATCCTCTTTTAACCAGTGACTTAGTAACATTTGCAGACTGTCCCCAGTTATCTTTTTTGCAATTTAACCTCGTTAGTATGACAAGTACAATACTTGATGGGGGCAGTACCACTCAAGACACCACAGATGGAACTAAACTTCTGGCTAAGTCTGTATGTGAAACAGCGCCAAAATTCCTTTTCTGGGCCCTCAACTGTGTACCAGGAATTGAGTATGCACCATAATTGGCCTGTTAATAAAGCCATTGTCAATTTGCCGATTAGGTTGAGGGGAAATTCGAAATGCATTCCTGGCAATTCAATGAGTCAGTTGAGGGCCCAGAGCTGGTATCTTGGCAATGAATTGCAGACGTTACTAACTGAGGTTAGACTATGTTGATGCAGGCTACATTCAAGCTGACAAACAGTAATGCTGAACTATACAAAGTCATTAAAGTGCTTTATGTGATTTCCAGCATACTGATAGATCACACAAGATTCAATTTTACCTGTCATTAGAAATACAATGTAACACCACCTTGTTTAGTAATTTGACCACCAAGTTAACACAATGAAATTTCCTTGACCTAACTAATGGTGTTTACTGACAGGGCCTCTGTAACCTGGAAATTCAGGCACCTCTCCTTGCTCCTCACCGCTAGGGAAGTTTCATTTTTCCTGCGAAACATTCCATACAGCAAGGAGTGAGGAGAGACAGCCATCCGCAAAGAAATGCCAAGCAGAGTAACCGGCCGATACTAACCAAGTAGGTGGCAATTTTCGCTGACAGCCGGCTACTTTTGACAACCCTGATGTACAAGAACTTGCATAGCAATTTATGTTATTTTCACCTGCAAAAAAAACTATTTCTCACCTTTATACTTGAAGAAGCTGAAACCACCCTAGTCTCCAAAGATTGAAACATTGATGAACCCCTTCATGGAACAAACCAGAAAAAAAAAAAAACAGAAATAAAGACCAGAACCTTCTCACTGCACGACACAAACAGCAAACGATTTAGCAGTTTTCATACCTGATTTCTCCAAGTTTCTTGGCTGTTGCTGATCCAACATTTTTTGCAGCAGTTGCTGTCCTTGATCCTGCATCACTTAACATTGTCTTTGTTGCAGCAGCTCCAGTGCTGAGTTTGTTGTACCTGAAAACGCAAATGGACCAAAATCACTAAGGATTAGACACACCAAACTTATACATGGGTAGTTGACAAAAATTCACCTGTTACAATTACTGGTATTAATACTGATTAGCCTGTGAATGCAGCCATCTTAAAAAACAAAACAAAAAAACTCCTGCATGTAAGAACCCCTAGACACAGGAACCCCTACATGTAAGACCTCCTGGCTGTAAGACCCGTGGATGTAAGACCTCCTGGCTGTAAGACCCCTGGATGTAAGACCCCTGAATATAAGAACCCCTAGAGGTAAGACCCCACGGCCCAGTTGTTCGAAGGCCAATTAATGCCAACTCAGGGTTAAATTTTAACCTGGTTTTTTTTTCTTTTGTTCAAAAGCATTTTCCTGGATAACTTTCTCTCTTCTTTTTAGAGCATCTAATCATAAAATTGTAGGGAAAAGGTATAAAACTGAATTTGCTTTTTAAGCTTTACTATCTGAAATCAAATTTTGCACTAACCCTGGGTTAACTTAACCCTGTTTTGAACAACCCGGCCCAGGAGATAAGAACCCATGGCTGTAAGAACACTGGATGTAAGAGCCCCTTGTAGGAACTCCCGAACATAAGAATATCTGAAATTAAGGCAGCCCTGATAGAAAGCTTGGGTGCTTACCATTTGACAGAAAAAACCGGTTGGGGTGTCGAAAGCATAATGGTAAGCGATTTGACAGTTTACCGTAGAAATGCCACATCCGTTACAGTTTGAATCCAAAAAAGGGCGAATTTGTGTAGCGTGAGTCTGGAACCGGGAAGGAACCAAGAAATTGGTTAATGGTAAACAACATTCCATTTGGTTCGTACCAACCGGAATGAATGGACTACCTCAAAATGTACTCCTCAATTTTTGGTTGGAATTTCCGAAAAGTGACCTTACCATTTACCTTCCATCCAGAATTTCCAAAATTTTCTGTCAAATGGTAAGCACCCCTTATTTATGCTCAAAATGTATACCTATTTTACAACATTTACACCTACACCAGAGCTGGAACTTGAAACTAGAACTACAGAACTTACGCTTGTGAGTGGACAATTTTGTCATTCAAATCTTTAAATGTGTCAGAAGTTTTTTGATACCTGTGAAGTAACAGGAAAGAGAAAAAGCTCTTAACTTTGTAAGCACAACATTGAATTAGATTGCTGTATACCATAAGGGCTGTCGCTTTCTAGTGACCCTTTACCATTGTAAGGATTAGAGCAACAACAACAACAACAACAACAACAACAACAACAACAACAACAAACAACAACAAACAAACAAACAACAACAACAACGACAACAACAACAACATCTTTATTTAGAGTTTAAAGTACTGCTACTCGAAAAAAAAAATCCAAACTCTATTTTTTCAAAATGACTAAAAGAAAAGGACTGTACATGAGAGTGTAAGGAATCTTGCGCTTTTATCTATAGTGTTTGTACGTTTGCCATGTTTTTAGTTCTTTTCCTGTTCCTACCTTTAGTGCAGTTTTTTGGTTCATTTGTCATTTATTGTTTGCGCATCTTTGTTCTTCGTGTCAAGCTTTTTTTGCATATAGTATAATTATTTAGCTTCGATTGCTATTTTCGTGTAAATTCTTGGTTGTACTTCACTGGTCCAGTTTACATCTTTTCATTTTTGGTCTTTGCTCGTCCTAGAGTGTCTTATTTTCCTATCATCCTATCATCTCGTTTGTTTCAATCACTTTTACAGTTTGCTCTATTGCTTTTCATTTAGTTTTGTGAGTTATTTTATCTTGACCTTGTCAGACAGATCTAGGATAAATACTGACCGATTTCCCAAACAAGTGCAAAGGCGCAAGCTTCTAGGGGGGTCCGCGGCATGCTCCCCCTTTGGAAATTTTTTGGATTTTAACTCCCTAAAGTCCTGGGTTTCTGAGTCATTCAGAAACGATATTGGCACGATTTCAACTTGGAAAGTTTTATTCTTAGTAAAATATATTATTTCCTTTTTTAAAAATCTGACTGATTTTCGGTGGAAACTTGTGTGGATCCAAGCCTGCTTGTATTTGTTTAATTGTTGTTTTTCAGTACCACTTCACTTTGTTTTGCATAGATTTGCATTGTCTTTCTTCTGTTCACTTGTTTCCTTTCACCAGTTGTAGAAGTCTTGAAATAAAGTTTTCTTTGTTGGATAACTACAGCGCGCAAAGGCTGCGACTACAGTACAGAAGTACTGTGCTGTCAAAGATGTTTTATGATGACAATGATTACACCATAAGGTTTCATGTACAGCCACAAAAATGAGAAAAACATACATCTGAGTTCCTTGTAGATTTTGATACTGGTGGTGAAATCCATCCTTTAACTGTGACCATGCTGTTATACCCAACAGCCGTTTGATTTCTGCTAACTGTTTCTCCTTTCGATCGAGAGCTTGTTTTAATGTAACAATTTCTTCCTCAATCTGAAGAACAAAAATAGCAGGAAAAACTCTGATGCCCTTGCATGATAATTATCACAACATAAAGTGTGGAGAAAAGCATGTGTGTGTACTAAAATTAAAAATGTTTTGAAAAATAGAAATGTTACTGACAGTAAAAACCTCCTTAATACGTTTACCAAAGCTGAGTACATCGGCACCATAGAAGGGTAAAAATAGCATTACAGGAGAGGTGTTGGTATAAAGGCGTTGCAGAGGTATATAGGTAATGGTTGTATAAGTTTTGCTCCTTTGAGTCCAGGAGAACTGTCTGCAATAAGGAAGTATCTCTCTTATGCGCACGCATGCTCCTTTTTATTTGGAGCTTGATTTATTGGTGGATTGTTGTAATGATTAAACTATAAATTTTGTTGGCTTCAGATCTGAGATCAGAGGTTCATCCAGCCGAGATCTCGCTCTCATATAAACAGAAGGACAATTTTATGAGAAAACAAGGTATGAGCTGAGCCAGCCCAGTGAAGCAAGCGAGCCAAGCTAAAAGGGATGGCTCCCCTCCTATAAACAGGCCCGAAGTGCAATTTTTTATGAACTCTTGTTTATAATGGCCCTAGAACTCCCAGTCCTACAGGTGTCTGCAATAACAACGGTTGACTGTACACCTTATTCATCAAAGTGAAGTAATTCATCAGGGTTGTCACTAAGATTTCAAGTTGCCGCGTAAATATATCAAGTAGGTGGAGAATCAAACAGCTAGGGATTTCTTTTGGTTCTATTTTCCTTCTATTTTCCTATGAAAGTAGCCGGGGGCCACATTCTTAGTAGCCGAGGGAAATCCCCAGCTCCCAGCTCTTAATGACAGCCCTGATTCATGGATGTTGTCAGTTACAATACAGTGTACATGCATGCCAAATATACCAAAATTTCTCACATGGTCTTTCAGGTTTTAAACGTATAATCAAGCCGTGAGCTTTACAAAAGTTACTAGGAATTTTAATTATTGAAATACAGTAGACCCTCCATTAAGTGGCCAGTAATCAAAGTCTCAAAGTAACTATAGCAAAAGAATGGGAATCTAAACCTCTGTTTAGCAGCCGCGGCCACCTTTTGCCTGTCTCAGTGAGAGTTCTCCCATTGTTATCACCCCTATTAAGCAGACATCGTGTGCTTGATTCAGTTCAAGCTGGGAATTTTTCCAAGCGGAGCGGCCAACACATTCAGTGGGGGCATTCTCGGGGCTATAACTTTGTCTCCTTTAAAGGCATGTTACTGAAATTAATACAGGCAACAATACTTGATTCCAGAAACATTTTGGATTAGGCATTTCTATGGTTACCAGTCACGAGACCCTCTCGTGGCCAATTAAAAAAATCAAAACTCCCAAAAGTTTCTCCTTCAAAAGTATGTAACCGTAAACTGCGATACTTTGCAGAAATATAGTGCACATAAAATTGATTTCTCAAATCTCATTTTTGTGACATCACAACTGATGACATCACAAAATGGACTTTTTGGACATGCCCAGTACTAGTCCAAAAAATGAAGAATTTGAAACAATAACTTAAGACAAATACAAAAGTGAAAGTCTCAACTCATTATCCTCTACAGTTTAAGAGATAATATTGGTAACATTCCATACACATTCAAAAAAATCGTTTGGACAAATCTGTGGCTGATTTTTAGCAATTTTTTCCTACTGTGCTTAGTTTGGCTTTATGTCAATGATAATTATGATGAAGGAAATACAGTCTGAGATAGAAGGTGAGGACCAACTTTGGTCCAGTAATGCTGCTCCCATCATGTTTCAAAATAAAGTGATATTTCTGCTAAAAATTATGCTCATGTGATGTTGATTTATGACAAACCTGTAGTGAGCGGCCAGCCCCCATTAAGCATTCACTTGCCTGTACCCTGAGGGTGGCCGCTTAATGGTGGTTTCACTGTATGTACATACATACATACATACATACTTTATTGACTTTCCCGAGGGGCTTTTCAAAGACAATACATGATCCTATTTACAATTAAAAATGTTTTAAAATATATATAAAATTACAATTCTTTAAGTAATTTAGTACGTAAACGAGTTTTAAAAACACATGTATTCTTATTCTTTGCAAGAGTGATGTGCTCCAGTCCCGATTCCTTAGTTTTTCTCTTCCTTTTAGAAATCATCAAATGTCTTTTGGGCCTCAGGGAAGGAAAAACTTAAATTTCTACCACATGACTTTAAACCAGTGAGATGAAATGTAACCTTTGGCATCTACAAGACCAATGGAAAGCTAGTGCCAAAAAGTTTAAGAAAGCCAAAGTCCACAGAACATGAAAAGGAATGTTATCAAATTTTTACCTCAACAATATCATGGATATGATGTCATGGAGGTGTTTGAAATTTTCAGCCGATAACACTGATATAATAACCGCATAAATGAGTAGGGAAATAAATTTTTTTTACTATTCCGATTAATTGACCTAAAAAGATAAAAACATCACGGAATTCTGATTGAATGGGCATAACAAGCTCAAAAGTACAAAGTTTTATTTCGATTCTCCGATCGTTAAGAACAATTTCATACGAACGCTCGCGTCATGTTTTTAACTTCTGTCAAAGCAGTAATCCAAAAAATTATCATCATTTGATCTGTAATAGAGATAATAAGTCACAGGAACTACATCAAGTGAGCAAACACTTTGCTCATGTGACGTGTCACCTGAAGTATCCTTACACCATGTCTAGAAAATTCCCATTTTCATTTCAAACTTACCTTCTTAGCTTGCAAACGAAGCTCATTTTTCCTAGCTTCTTCTGCTTCAAGGTCTGGTGACAGAGAAATCTCAGTGGTTTCTTCACTTTTCTCGTCTTCGTTTGCTTCTTGTCCCTTCTCGACGATGAATTCTGAGAAATCCAGACCGTTTTCAGCCGCCATCTTCGCTCCTATGTTTTCATCCCAGGCTCCTTAGCGGCAGAGGAAGAGGGAATGATTACCCATAACTCTTTGGGAACGTAGTGAAACTCTCGGATCCCGGATGTTGCAGTGACGAAAGTTGTATTCCAAGATGGCGCTTCAGAACCAAAGAAAGGCGAACGTAAGTTTTAACCCGATCTATTGCACGTTAGAAAACTTAGAATATATATGCTCTCCATTAAACGTCTTTCTTTTACTCTGCATCATTCTTTGTTTTCTTTTCAAATATTTCTTATCGATTTTTGATGATGACGTTCGACATGCGTTTGCTGACAAATATGGTTGGTACATTTGCCTTGTTCCTTGACCGTATTTTTATCTCATTTTAGGTCCGATTGCCCCCAGAAGTTAACAGAATTTTATATGTAAGGTAAGAACCTAAAGATTTATCATCGTACTCCTTCTAGTCCCTGCTGTAGCTGTGGTGTTGTTATGCAGTAAAACTCAATTGACACTCTCTAATCGCGTGTTCATGCTTTGGTATGATTTGGAAAATCTTGCTACTATGTAGAAATCATAAGTACTAATTATTTTAAGTTTAAGATGGCTTCCCAGCATTGTTATGGTTTTGTTTTTTGAGAATGGCATGTTCATTTTGTCAGGCCCAGTTAAAACAGAACCTAATAATATTGCATTTTGTGGTAAAAACGAAAAGGAAGCCAGACCAAAGAAGGCAGGTTAAAGTAGCTCATAACAGAATCATCTGCTCAAGTTTTGATGTACTGAATTGATGGTATTTGGTATGGTTCATTTAAAGCCCAGCATCTGAAGTAAATCTAACAGTCTTCTAACCTTAGAATCACTGACACAAACAGGTTCAGGTTCTCTCTCCTTTGTTATGTATCGGTCAAATCGAAGCTTCAACATCCCCCCCCCCCCGGGCATACCCCGGGCATTTGACACCTTTGCCGTCCCGGGGAGGAGGGAATTTGATCATCAAAGTCTTCCAGGGGGTGGGGAATTTGAACTCCACCCTCGATTTCATGAAAAATCTTTGGCGTGGCGAGCTATCATGGGGGACGCGCGCGGTGTTGGAGGATTTTCGTGGAAAAGATTGTGCCTTTGTGGCCAATTGGTTACGAGGAAAGGGCTTAAACAAGCTTTTTGCCGTATTTGAAGTATTTAAATTTTAAAATTTTTAATATGGATTCAGGCTTTGAATGTATGATTGTATTTTATTGTTGTGTTTACAATGAAGTACAATACTTATACCGGCGATTCAGTACAACAACATAAAATAAAATAAAATAAAACGGTCAACTACTTTGACCTACTGCAAGTATGTTAATTAATAAGGTGAGCGATGATGCATGTCAGTCAAATGGTCATGATGTAGTAATCTCAATAGGTGGGATCTTTTTTTATAGAACGCTTTGTACGTTGCATGACGAAGAAAAGCTGAGCATTCAGTGACCTTGTAGCAGCGATTTTCGCCGCTTTGCACGAGACTTTTGTTCGTAGTAAATGCGCTAGCAGTGTTGCTCAGTTTTTGTTATATTTATAAAGATTTTGTTCGACAACTGAAGGCGTTTCCGCCGTCCTTCTCTCATTTTTGTGCCCGTGAAATGGCCCAAGGGTGGGGGCATTTGATCACCTGAATGGACCCTAGTGTGAGGCGTTTGAACGGCATTTTGGCCCGGGTAGGGGGGAATTTGAACAATAATTTTCAAAAAAGTCAAATGCCCGGGGGGTTGCCCGGGGGGGGGGGGCATTTTGAAGCTACGATTTGACCGATACATTATTTTGATGGTAATGTCATTTGCCCCTGCAAAATCTGCAAGGATGCCAGATACTGTATTTACCCTTGTGTAATGTGCACCAATTGCAATCCAACTAACTTTTTTCTCTCTCTACAGAAATCTACCTTACAAGATTACAACAGAAGAAATGTATGACATATTTGGCAAATATGGAGGCATCAGACAGATAAGAATGTATGTAGATGTACATGTATTATTTGCAGTAGGTATTTTGTTAAAGGGGCTACACGTATGCCATGCTTAGGATAGATATGGATTGATACAATTGAAGGTTTTTTATGCTATGCCGTCAAAAATCACCAAAGAATTATTATGATTTGTACTCCCCAACGAAATTTGTTTGATATCTTTGTAACTTCACCAAAGCATTTGGTAAATGGGAAAAAGCACTAAAGTAATGACTTTAGCACAGAAATAACCGAAAACAGTAATGTCCTCATCACATACATGTAGCCACTTTAAGTTGATCCTTAAATATTTATTCCTCAGGACTTTTAGTAAGAATCCTAGTAGCAGGAGAAAGGTGTAACATTACCGGAGAATATTTTGAATGAGGCTCCAGGTGTGAATAAAAAGTATTCATAAGCTACCGAACGTTAGTCGGAGAATTTTGCATAGTAAATGGAGAATTCTCCAATCTCCAATACCTGATGAACACCCTGATTCCTTTTACAGTGAAATTCATTGAATTGCGCTGTGCGTTTTGCAAAATTTGAAGGAATTTTGGGTTTTTCTGTTCTGTCAATCATCTTAGCGGACCTCATAGGAAACACATGTTTACTTGCATGAGTTCAAGCGGTCCTGGTTTTTGTTATTTGTGATTGGTGGATTTTCGGTCTGTTTTGTTTGTTTCGTGTTTCAAGGTTTGTTGCTTTGTGATCGTCCTGTTTCAGGCAATAGTCGACTAGTTAAGTTTGCTTTGTAGATTTTACTGATCTTTCTTATTCTTGTCACTTGTAAAAATAAAGCAAAAGAATCCACTCACCATATTAGAATCCACTCACCATATTTGGGATTTCTTTTGCTATCCTTGAGCATTCTAGAGTCATTCTAAGCCAAGCTGGGCGAGCATGTTACTGTGTGATTTGCATCAACCCCGCCTTCACTCAAATGATTGACATAACAGAAAAACCCAAAATCCCTTCGAACTTTGTGATACACGTAGCGCAATACAACCAATTTTGCTGTAAGTGTTTATATAAACATGCTCTTCCTCTACTTTTTTTTCATACACTGTTGTGTTTCTAATGAGGAGCGTTTGTATAAACATCGACAACTTACTGGCGATTTTTAATTTTCTTTTTCTTTATCATTTTCCTACCTTGCTTTTATTTTTATGTCCTTTGGTTGGATCAATGAAGAAAATCTGAATGCAATACACATGATTTCTCCTTCGCAACTACTGATTCACAGTCAAAACAGAACTCACAGGAAATGTTATTAGTTAAGCACTTTGAAGACCTTAACAGCTGTTGTAATGACATTCTTTTAGAGAAATAAGGAAGTATTCTACATTGTGGTGAAAGCAATGGTCTACAATAAAAGCTGTTAGGTGATAGGAATTATGGAGTTCAAGAATGTTTGGCATTCACAGCCATTTACAGCTCTGAGTGCAATCAAATTACCTAAAGATAGTTCGTGTTCATATTACAACACTTACAGTTACTGTGGCAATATGGATAAGTGTAATTTAGGAAAGGTTAAACTCAAGGCAATGCCGGGGATCCTCTATGTTGGCATTCATATTCACTTTCTTGCTTCCCTGTCAGTGAGACCATTTTGTCTGCTACTTTTGAGGTACAGCTATAACTTGAATTTCTACTCTTAAATTACAGTGGTAATGCACCAGAAACAAGAGGCACAGCATTTGTAGTGTATGAAGATATCTTTGATGCCAAGAATGCTTGTGATCATCTGTCAGGCTTCAATGTCTGCAATCGCTACCTTGTCGTACTCTACTACCAATCTACCAAGGTAAAGTAGACTGACAACATTATTTGTCTAAGGCAGGGCTGTCACTTAGACAGTATGACTCCTGGCATCTTTCATTGGAAATGAAAGGACAATAGAACCAAAATAATATTATTTTCTAGCTGATCAAACATAACTATTTTGCAAGTCCCTTGGCCTTTCTTCATATCAAGGTTCTACTGTACTTTAGTCAAATCCAATGTTTATTATTTATTTCTTTTTTTATTCAGGCTTTCCAAAAATTGGACAAGGAAAAGAAGAGACAGGAATTGGAGAAAATGAAAGAAAAATATGGAATCAACAAGGACAAGTAACACCATTAGGAAGGAGAACACCAGAAAATGTCTTATTTATATACAGCACTTTAATACCAAAAACTGTTTTCCAGAAGTCAGTAATTTATGTACATTGTAGCACATAGTACAAACAACATTCAGAAAGAGGAAGTATAGGTTGTAGCCCAGTTATGTTGCAGTACTTTGTTAATGTTCCTCAAATGTTTTGTTACATGTAGTTATCTATAGCTGTGGAAAGTAGTTGACAAATATCTCTTGACGGTGTACAGCATGGCAATTTGAATGCACTCCATAACACTCTAGTTATCTTTGTTTTAGTTCAATCAAAATTGTAAATGCTAATTTGGTTTAAACGTAGCTTGTCTTTCTTACCAAATAAAAAACTGAATGTTACAGAACAGGGCGACTACTGTAACCATTGTTCTAGGTGAGAAATGTGTCTCGGGTCAATGACCCGGCAGAGAAGGCTTCCTGGCCCAACAGATGGCATATGTGTTAAGTAAAATATGACGAAAAAAGTTAGCATGTGGTCTTGGTGACCCCTCAGATGGTCTACATGAAAGAATAAACTGGAACGCTGTGTAACCAGGGCAACATAGACAAAGTTGACCAATCAGATTACAGGGAAGTAACAATACACTCCACGAAAGTTGGTTGTGGGCCAGTCAGCAGCTTGTAAGAAAACAGTAAGTTACTCAAAGCACAAAATTATAATATTGATAGCAAACGTTTTTCAAGAAAGCAAAATGTTTCACCAGGCAATGTTTTTCTGTTTGAATCTTTACATATTACACCCAGGAGACATATTTGTTTTGGGCACAAGCTGTCATTTTGTCATCTACCGGCAATTTCTTCGCAACCATTGCCGTTCTTTGCAATAACATCACAACCTCATGTCAAAGATTTAAATAACATTTATGTTTTTTGCCTGCATCATTCATTCTAACAGACCTGTCAGGAAACACAGGCTTTCTACTGCGGGTTCAAAAGGTCACTTCTGTAGGCTGTGATTGCTTGATTTCGATCTTTGTTGTTTATTTCAATTTTAATGACTGACAACTAACTTTCTCAGAATGTATTGTTATTTTCCTGTAATCCGATTGGTCAACTTTGTCGGGGTGGCCCCAGTTATTGTAGTCGCACTGTAAGACTCTTGTTCGACTAAGGGTGAATGTTTTACTCTTCATGGGTGGAAAAAAATTCATGGTTAGCCAGGCGTGAACAATCATTCATGTCTTGACAGACTCTGGAAAACAACTGCAAATGTTGATGTTTTTTACAGCACCTCAACATTAGGATGTAAATTTACTGTAAACAGCAAATTGAGTATAAGTAATTGCTCTTAACAGGATCCAGGGCCTGTGCAAGGACTCAGAAGGCAAATGTATCTGAACCAGTATGAATTCTCGGGCTGTTTCTGATTGGCTAAGAGATTCTTGGCACCAAAGGTGGATCTGTAAATAGTGTGAAAGTGTTATACACTGTGACGAAGACCCTTAGAAGGAGGTGGAGATCCAATCTTGTGTTAACTCACAAAATTCTCTTTAACCCACCATTTTACCCAATAAACCCATCAAAGGATAAACAATTACTGTATCGTGGATGGGTTGTAGAAGATACCCCATGGTGTTTTCGTCAACAAACTAATGACAACTTTTGATCACCTTAACATTATTTTTTTTTATTGTGTGTGCAGTATATGTTACTACAAATTAAAAATAGTGACTGAGGGCACCCTCTTTTCTTGTCCCGCTCAACACACGCATGTGTGCACTCCATGCACTAAATTCGGAGCTGAAGAGAGAGTGCTTGCCGCCAAAAAGACCTTTCTACGTTGTAGCTTGTACGTTTTCTTTTCCCAATTCAGACCACGTGATGTTCTCCAGGGAATTTTCCTTTTGTCCTTTCATAATTTATGCATAGATTAGCTACCATCACGTAGTCTGAAAAGCGAAAACAAAAGATACAAGCTAACAAGGTCTATTATAATGTGACGCGTTTAAGAACCCATAACAACTGTTCACTAGTTTAAAGCCAGTATTAAAACTGATAAAATCACAAGTCTATTACAACACTTAAAGTACTCAACGTGGACCCATCTTCAGTCTTGGGGTGCGCTCAGTCTAATGAGCATGATATTGACAGAGTTTTCAGCCTGAGCTTTAAAGTTGGGATGCTTCCATTGCCGACAACAAGGGACGTTTGAAACTTTTACTTAGCTTTAACAAGTGAAAAATTAATAGCTGTATGTAACAAGTAAGACGCCGTAGTATGGAATTTTGGGGGTGCGGGCTGTGGGTCGGGTCTGAGTACAGTAGCGTGAACTGTTTCTCTGAACCATTTGAAACACTGCAAGCACACTTCTTAGTCTTACTATTTGAAATAATTAACGAAGAGTAATAATTTACACATTCAAAGAACGATTCTCTGAACGCGATTATTTACAGTTGGCAGAAATTTATCTCAGTTTTTTGAGTCCCCATTAATACCAGTTTTTCTGACTCTACACATTTTCGTTTCATTATTGGGATACCTGTGGCAAAGCCCATTCTAGTTATCTGATTTCTGTAATTGCAGTCCCAAATTAGCCTTCTAACACAGCCGTCTCTGACCGCTTCACACCACTTTGGACGTTTCGCCGGCTGTACGTATTCGCAGATAGGCCAAAATTTCTAAGCTTATAACTCTTAAAAATATGGAAACGAGGCGGGTATGTTTCCCTGCTAGCAAGAGTCTACGTTTCTGTCTTGACGAGCTAAAAGTAGAGGTAGAACTTTTAGCACGCGTGCCGAGAGTAACTAAAAAAGTAGGCTCTGCAAGCAGAGAACTATTTTTTTTTTCTCACTATAATTTTTAGATTTTGTAACATATTCCTCTCTCACATAATTAGTAACCAAAGATTCTTCAACCAGCTTCGAAAAGGAAGTTACTTTTAATTAAAGTAACAGGGAAGCCCATGGACTCAAAATTCTAACCTTGATTATATCTGCATTCATCAACCCGGAAAACTACTATTATCAGTTAAATACAAGCGATATAAGAATCTAATTATAATTAGGTGAGATAATGGATAAAATAGAGCTACCATTGCGCAAAGTTAGGAAATTATGATGTCTACGTTATTCTTTACGCCAGATGACGACGTTTTACCAATGATATCATAGTCCAGTTGTGATTTTGAGTGTGATTAAAACTCAATCTTGGATGTTTTAAACAATTAAAAAATAAACAGCTTTCCGGTTCTAGTAATTACTGGGACTTTCATGAAACAACCTTTTGAGGGAATTTGTGTTTCACAATACAGAAGAAACAATATTGCGGCTGAAAAAAGTTTAACTTGAGTCTGCGATCAATTTTAAAAAGGTTAGTAACTGGTCAGCGGAAAACCGTAAAAAAGTAAATGACCGAAATAAGTTGAAACTTGAGCCCGCGGCACGGTCATGTGCTACAGGTCAGCAAATACCCTCTTCAAAGTTAAAACATCTGTCCATCGTTGTTTATTTAGCAACTGCTTGGCGTTCTTGGACTCGGGGTATATTTCTGGTCACCGTGACAAGTGACACACAAAAATGCATCGCTAATTTAATGTATTATTTTACCTAGTTTGACTTCGTGGTAAGTGCCATTACAATTATTTATTTCTTACTTGATGTTTTAAAAGAATCTTTATATATCCTCATGTTAAGTTTCAAGAAAAACTGTTCTTGCTCGCTAACGCGAGTAGTACGTTCTCCTTTTGCCTAAAGGGGCTGTGTCACGGCAGTCCAGTTCATTTTCAGTTGTTTCATTTTGCCAATTACTCACCCTCAATTGCTATGGAACTTAAAGTAAGCAAAGAAATTACATGTAAATGACAAAATCAGAGATCCGAGACAAACAAATTTGTCTCCTGAGCATTATTTTTGAAGTTGGAAGCAGCAGGGACCAACTTTGAAAAACTGTTAGGCTGAACAGTTTTCAGTCAAAAACCCTAATTTCAATCCGTTTCAATCTTCTTCAGTTTTGCCCATCCGTGGCATCTGTTGTTTCTGTTATGTTGTTTTAACCTTCCTTTAAAGTTTTAAGCGGTTATTTTTATGTTTCCTTTAATTTAACGGGCATTTTGTAATTTCCTAATTTGGCTGAATTTCGTGACACAACTCCTTTAAGTTATAGAACAGTTCAGATATTGAAGTTAAGTGCAGTTTTTCCTTTTCTTCGTTTTTATTCTTTCTTTAATACAATAAAGCCTACTGAAGTGAAATGATAGAATATGTAATACTTTACTTGCACCTTGTATTTAGTTAGTGCCACAATAACGGAGACTGCAAAAACTATTAGGTGTACCACTAAGATAGTACACATAATATGAACCACAATTTCTCACTTTGATGTTTGTTGACCAATCACAGCAGCCTGATGTCCAGTGGAAACACACCGTCCTGCTGACCTGACCGTCTGCTACTGTAGGGTGTCCACCATTCATCCAGCCGGGTGCACGTGTGCCACATCTGTATTTAGGTGGACATGAAGTTGGCATTCTTGTACCGGCGGAACCCTCAAAACGAAACCAACCAGGTCCGATTCCATAGTCACAATAACTGTGGTTAGTAGTGTACGTAATCTTTCTGTCAGCGTTGTTAAGACTTCCGTAATTCTGACATTCTGATGTAGAAAAAAAAAAATAATTATAATTATTATCATAAGAATTAATTTAATTAACTTTTAAAAATGTAGAAAATTATTTAATATTTTAATATTTTTTGTAGTTTAACTGGTTTCGTAAAGTTTTATCTGCTGTACATAAACAGGTTCAAAGTGGGTAATTTTCACGTCCTGTAAGATTCCCCAGCACCTGCCCCACTGTGGCGAACTCTGTTTACATATGAGTCAGTCATTGAGGATTGGTTAGTGACTTTCACACACTGGTAGACATACAGACAGAGGTTAAGAAATAACATGGGAAAGGGAGACAAATATATCTGTAGACATTCTTAAGCTGCCTCGATTTGCGATTGCAAATGGGTGAGTTATTTCTGCTATATACGATAAAGTAGGGAAATAATAGGTAAATAACATTTAATAACTATTAATAACAATTGTTTGGAAACAAGGATGAGTAAAAAACATTTTACTTTTTAAAAAGAAACTACAGTCTGTAGAACTTGGTTAATACGGACAATTAGGGGAAATGCCTTGGTGTCCGTATCATCTGGATGGCCATAATAAGTGGGCTCTCCGGAAAAACGTCCAGGACACATATTGTATTGATATAAAGACTATGGCAGACAAAGAGGAAGAAGGGTAGGAAAAATGACTGCGGCGAAAAGCCAATAAGGAAGTGAAATTTTTGTAGCAGAAAAAAATTATTTAATGGCTATATAGTGCAAGGGTCAAACGCGGGAAAGACTGACTTATCACGCTATTCTGCTTCTTAAACCCAAAGAAATCTGTCATTGTTTGAACAGTGTACAATATCTACAATTAGCACGTGATTGTTACAAGGAAAATAGACAGCGCGAAGATAAACAATGTCCGTAAACAGCAGGGGTAAACAATGTATGCGAGTTTGTGCCTCGGGACACAGAAAAGTGTCCGTTAACGTTGTCCATATTAAGCAGTGTCCGTATTAAGAGGGTAAATTTTAGAAACGCTAAGTTGTATACGGTGTTTCGTCTTGCAGAAATTAAAATTTTATGTCTGTTCTCTTATTATTGATAGAAATTAGCCAATCAGCACAAGAGAATTAACTCAGTTATTGTAAAAAAATAGAGCTTATGAAAACGTTGTAGTGTCGGTGATAAGAGACTTTTACTTTGTAACTATAAAAAAAAATCTTACTAAGTGATCTTGTGCTATGAGGTTGCCTTGGACTGACTTTGGCACCAAGGTCGAGTTTCAAAATTCCTTGAGTTAGCTTGCCCGTGAACTCACAAGGAAGAAAAAAACATTCCTGTTTGATTTTTTCATCGCCTGCAATTTCATGCAATTTCACTTTCTTCTTCTGCACGGATCCGTGTACGTCAAAAGATGCGTCATAGAGTAAATAACGGAAAGCAGCGAACTACACTTTGCTGGAGAGTCTCCCTTTATAAAAACAAGCTCGCGAAAGTGTCAGATACCGGATTGAAGCTTGTTATCATAATGATCAGGCTGAAACGCGCAAAATTACAAACGCCTATAAAGTTTTTTCTGTTTCTGAGCTTGCGTGCTAGCGGCATAATGCTCTCTCTTCAAATGATGCGGTTTTAATCTCGCAGTCTACTGCGAATTTCAGTGACGTCACAGTTTAGCCTCTCCAGAGTTTATTAAACTCAGTCGGAGGCGTAGAGTCCATATTCTCCATATTTGACATACCCGATCTCCCTATCAGTCACAGTCTCTTTCCATATAAGGAGCATATTAAGCAACCACGACTGCGACGGCATGGAGCGAAAACGCCCCAAAACATTGTATTCACGCTGTTTCACATTAATTTTTATCACTCTTATTCCATTTCGTTCAAGTTAATTGTCAAATTCACCAAGTTGGTGAATGCTTTTTGGCGTTTAATTCTATTGTAATGTATCTCAATGTAGAAAAAGAAAAAAAATGGTTTTCTAGTCTGACAGCGTTCCGTGTTTAGTTATGTTTAAAACACGAACATCAGTGTTTTATCACTGGTTTAACATTTGAGCGTAATAAGCGTGAGATTTTTTAACCAGAAAACGCGTTTTTTGACAAGCCTTAAAAAATTCGAGTTTACTCTCATAATATTGGAAACAGAAACATAGTTAGACATGCCTTCCTTTAGATTCACTGCTGGTCAGCGGCCATGAACAGTCCACCTCTGGAATGTCTTTCCCGAATCGTTAGGTAATATAGCGAATCTCAATCAGGTTAAGGCTGAAGTGAAGAAGCGTTATTTCCTTATTTCATTTTCTTTTCCAATAAATTTCACATGTTGTAAAGTAGATAATTATGCTTTTAATTATCAAATTGCAATTGTAAAGTTGGCTGAAAAGCCATTTTATGGGGTCGGCTGATAAAATATTAGTATTACTTAATATTTCATTTCAATAGGATTGCTAACTAACGGTTTTCTCTCTTTAACTAAAAAAAAAAAATAATAGAATGGGAACACAAAAGCAGCCAAAATAACAAAGGTCGGTCAGATATAATTATGCAAATACTGTACATATACAACCTCAAGTACACAGTTTAAAGACCTGTTCACGTTTAGGTGGGTAACCCCCCTGTCCATACAATCTCTCATTTTAATTTGATCAAGTTTACATGATAGGTGGCGGTGACCATATGAGAGATTGTAAAGACAGGCGGGTTACCCTACCTAAGCGAGTCACCTCACTAACATGGGGACCCCCACCTTCATGTAAACAGGCCCTAAGCGTCTACCTGCCTTCGCAAAACGAGTATCCAAGTTAAAGAAATTTCCACAGTTATCACTGCGTTTCAACAGAATGTGTGCCAGACTATGGCCTACTCGGCGAGTTTGAAGCAAAGATTCTTACTGTTTTATTACCTCTATTTTCGCGTTTATTTCGCTTGTTATCCTCCAGAATCCTCCAAAATAATTTGCTTGACTTGTATTTGGTCGAAATTCGTCGATAAAAGCTTTCATTCTTCGCAAAAGCCGCGACAAAATTCTTCCCGACGGAAGCGCCATTTTCACTAGATTTGAAAAAATCGTTGCCTGAAGCTCAAAACTCCCCAGGGCCTGGAAGTTGGCACATAATTGGCTAAATCTATTGACTTCCTGTGGGCCAAATTTGGAGGCAATCGGAAGTAACACAATTTTTTGCGAGTGTTCGTCTCGTCATAGCGCTTACCCATTTTTACTACTTCGGTTAGATAATTGTATGCTCTTTTCTACATTTTCAGTTACTTATAAATTGTACTAGTGGCGGAGTTTAGGTAAATATATATCTTGATTTTAGAAAATTTGGGTTATGACGGAATAATATTCGCTGTAGGAAAGTGAAAGTTAATAGCTAACCGAAATTTAGTAGTTAACTGAGAATTGGCCCAAAAAATAGTAGTTAACTGATATTTGGCTGAAAAATTAGTAGTTAACTGAGAATTGGGTACCCCCATTAGCACCCTCTTAAAAAAATTCGAGTTTATGTAACACATATTAAGGGACTTGCCCAGCCCCTTATCTGTAACAGGTTTAAGAAAATGGTTGATGTGCACTCTCGTAATATCGGAAGCAGAAACAAGTTAGACATGGCTTCCTTTAGATTCACTGCCGGTCAGCTGCCATGAGCAGCCCGCCTCTGGAATGACTTTGCAGAATCTTCAGGTAATAAAGAGAATCTCGACCAGCTTAAGGCTGAAGTGAAGAAGCGTCATTTCCTTATTTCATTTTTTCCCGATAAATTTCAACTACGGTAGATAATTATGCTTTTAATTATTAAATTGCTATTTTAAAGACTAAAAGTTGGCTGAAAAGCCATTTTATGGGGTAGGCTGATAAACTATTACTGTTACTAAATATTTCACTTCAATAGGATTGCTAAATAACAGTTTTCTCTTTTTGACTAAAAAAAAAAAAAAATAATAAAAAGGGAACACAAAAGAAGCCAAAATAACAAAGGTTGGTCAGATATAATTCAAAAAGTGCAAATACATTGTACAACCTCAAGTACCGCCTGTTATATGAACCGCCTGTTCATATAATCTCACATTTTAATTTGATCAAGTTTACATGATAGGTGGAGGTGACCATATGAGAGATTGTATGGACAGACGGGTTACTCTACCTAAGCGGGTCACCTCACCTACCTGGGGACCCCCACCTCCATGTAAACAGGCCCTAAGTGTCTACCTTCCTTCGCAAAAAGGCTATCCAAATTAAAGAAATTTCCACAGTTATTCTGAATCGTACAAGAGGGAAAAACGTTCGAAGAGAGTGTCACTACATCTAATTGCAATGCGACGGAAGATAATGGCAATTGATATAACGTAAGTTTTGCGGAATTGCAAACCGGTCAGTGACTGGTACATGTAAGAATTATTTGCGTCTCACTTCACCAACTTATTCTTGGCTCGATGAATAAACAGTCGTGTAATTCGATTAGTCTGGTGATTTCTCAGTTAAAAAACGTCGACATTTTTGTGAATAAGTTTTTTGTACTGCCTACATCGGCGTCCAAATATGGTAACCGTGTGCCGGATGTGAGGATTTAGCGGCGGGACAGACAATCAGAAACGGTGAAATATTGAACTTGAACTATAGTCTCCCTCGCAGCCGTTTTTTGGATGCCACGCAACGCTCAAAAAACGGCTGCGAGGGAGACTAGTTCTCCGGGGGAGCAGATTGGTACCGACAACTTGTTTCAGCCCTCAAAGCAGACGAGGGGGCTCGTTTGATTTAGTTCTCCCAAAGAGAATATTGCAAGCCGAGGATAAGTCGAACCGACTTTATAGTTCTTGTGGAAGGAAAATGAAAACCCTTCTTTAGTTGTATTCGTTTGTGTTAAGCGCGTTGTTTAGTTCTGAAAACGAGAAGAGTGAAAGTGAAGAGAGATTCAAGCGCCCGGTTCAAGCGCTGCCTTCCAACGTCGGTTTCTTCGCCCGATTGAATTCCACTGGGTAGAAAAAGTCAGAAACATGTACTTGACAGTCTAGTTGTGTAGCTTGACTGTAAAGAAGGGCAAGAGAAAGAGTTGGTAG